TTATTTTGAAAATTTCAATAAATTTCGGCCTGTAAGCGGCTCTTATGGCTATGTCTCTTGAATATGAAAGGATCTTAGGGCAGTTCTTGATATTGCTCTGTAGGTTCGTTGGCAGTTCTTTTTCAGAATGGTTTGTAGGCGGCACGTAGGGCATAAAATCTCAATAAGTGTGATAGGTAAGCTGCGCCCTTGGGCATGTTCTCAAAATATTGGGTTCTGAAGGCTTACAGTTCAGTTCTTTTCATAATTATTGGTCTGCAGCCCACAAGCAGTGCTTCTTTTAAATTATGTGTGTGAGTGGCCCGCAGAGAGCCTTTGCGAATAACATTTTGTTGAAAGAGGGGACGGGGAGGGAGGCAGTAGGTCAGTCATTATTTAATTGGTCTATGAGCGACCCACTGTGTTTCATAGGGACATCCTAAAACCGGCCCGCAGGGCAGTCTTTAGGCTGCGTTCATACTGATCCGTATGTTTCGAAACAGTTCCAGCACAGCACACAGTTTGGGCGGTGTGCTGGAACTGTTTCGACACATACGGATCAGTATGAACCCAGCCTTATATATAATATCCGTTCGGAAGGTATGGTTTGTAGGATATTGTACAGTACTTTTATTCTTATGGACATGGGAATGCTTTTTTTAGTTAAAAGTTCGTAATCTTGAGTGACTATTCTTTTGCACCCAAATGAATTTGCCTTACCAGCTGTATGCGGCCCTTAGGGTCGCTAGTCGAATGTATATTATAGTAAGAAAGGATTAGGCAAGACGTGCATGCTCAAAAGCCACATCTTGCAAGTAGTTTATTCTGCTGTTGTGGATAAGATGCTCAGCGAATGTCCTCATACCATAAGTACCCTGCTTATTCTTACAAAGGAAGTGTCAGCAGTCGCACTGACTTTTAAAATGAAAGTTATTATTTGAAGCAGCTTGAAAACATGGCTCCAAAACTTCCTCTTTTACCCAGAGCTCGGCAAGAGTAGGTCTTTCTTAGCCAGGGCCCAGTAAGAGTAGGTTTCTAGCGTTTAGCGTTTCTGAAAACGAAGCCTTACCCCCCCCCCCCGCCCCGACTTTAGGGCCGCATGCATTAACATCCCCACCGGGGAGGGGATCGCAGCTCAAAAGAAAAGCTCTTTTGAAGCTCCAGACATCTAGATTTTATGTTGCCTACCTATCCATAAGTATCCCTACCATCCTTCACTATGAACGTAATGTAGGAGCGAAATCTACAAGACGCATTTGCCAGCTTTTTGTGTGATTCCCTGATGATGCTCAGCGCCCGACCGTCTTTTCTTCAAGGCCATTTTTGTTTCTTCAGAGTTAATGAAAATGTGCCAAAATTTAACTGAAAATCTAACCAAACAGTGCTAAGCATGTTGCTGATAAGAACAAATGAGTTTTTGAAATACTGAATTTTCCGATAAACCCCAGCCTTCGACTTGTGGTTCATCGCAAACTTTATGATTCCAACACATCACTCGTTCTTAGTAGAAACATGCTTAGCACTGTTTGGTTAGATGATCAGTGAAACTTTGGCACATTTTCATTAATTTCGAAGAAAGAAAAGTGACCTTGAAGAAAAGACGGTCGTGCGCTGGGGATCACCAGGGGACCATATAAACATCTGGAAAACGCGGCTTGTAGCGCTTCTCGCTCCTATTCAGTATGTTCATAGTGAAGGATAGCAGGAATACTTACGGATAGGTAGACAACGTGAGAGCCAGATATCTGGAGCTTTGGGATATAAAGCTTTTCCTTTAAGCTGCGATCACATCCCCGGCGCGGATGTGCATGCGGCCATCAAAAATGTTACGAAGTCTCTCTGACTCTTATCGAAAACCGACTCAATAATAATTGTGATTGTTCCAGCTGATTTTTCGAAAACTTGCTCGAGTATAGCTGTGAACAACTTAGGTAGAAGTGGATCTCCTTGTCTCACTCCTTTCTCTCTCTCTACTTCGTATGAATTGATGCTTCACCGACCTTTACCGGTAGATTTTGAGCTTGGATAGACTTGCTGAAGAAGAATGATAAGCTGCCAGTGGATTCCCTGTTCTTCAAAAGCATTCCAAAGTCATTCATTAGTTCGCGGAAGCGATGCCAAATTAAAGTATCCGTTTCTCTACCCGCTTCAAAATTGAAAGGAAATTTTACCTGAACTACCTGTTTAAGTAAAATTCCAAGTAGAATTTTATGGGAGAATGATGCGAAAACAGTGGAACTAAACACTCAATCTTACAGATATTGAGGCATGAAGCTCGTGTACTCGAAGGAATGAGAAAAATTAACTCGGTTCATTTTATTAGTTACGAAGATCGGGGAAAAATAAGTGGCAGATTTATGTTCGTAGTTATCAGATTGGTGAGTCATTATTAATCAGTGGGCTGCCCTCTAAGTCTGTATAAAGGTTGGTAAGAATTTGTGGGATCTCCGTATGGAAAACCCTGATAGGCGATTTTCTATGGCTACTTCGATACGAGCGGCAGAACAAACTTTATCAGGGATAAGAGATCTTCATATAGTATGTGACTGACAAGCAAGTATTAAATGTTCTTCAAAAAGGTTTTTTTAGTGCGGGTATCTACATCGAGACATAAAACCTCCAAATTTTGCCATAGGAAGAGAAGAAGATGGTAACCCGCACACCATTTACATATTAGACTTTGGATTGTGTAGAAAGTACAGGTAGATAAATATCGCTCGTACCACCTTTCCAAATTCCACAGAATTTGTCACTTTCAGAACGGAAGAAAAGGATCTACGGTACATGAGGGAGAAAGCCGCTTTCCGTGGTACCACCAGATACGCCAGTATAGGGGCACTCGAAATGGTTTGTTAAATCTGACAGATGAACCTTTCATAATTTTTTTTATTATTAGAAGGACCAATGCAGGAAGGATGATGTAGAAGCATGGTGGTACATGGTATTAGAGTGGATGATTGGTCAATTACCATGGAAGCATTGTAGGGTAAGTTGTGTGACCCAACAAGTTCTACTTGCAAAGTAAGGATTGTAGGGTACTGATCGTGCTGAAGTGAAGCTGTACAAACAGCAACTGAGGATACCAACGAATCTGAAGAAGGTAAGTAACCTTTAATTCAACTGGCTTGGCAACTGGAAGGCGGAGCTTTGTGACCCAATTAAAGCCGCTCGCGCTCGCGACACCGTCTGCGTCTCTTCCCCGCATGCTCCCTGATCATTATTTCGCCTTGATTAGGTCACAAAGCCCAGTGTTCCAGCCGCCAAGCCAGTTGAATCGATGGTCAGTTAGAGTAAGAACAAGTACGAAACCAGTGCGAGAATCTTCGTGTTATGTTAGAGATTGTATAAGATTATACATAGTTGTAGCGATGGCCTTCTGCGAAGCTTTTGAAGGTCACGAACCACAACTCTTTTTCCACCGAAGGAGAATTCCTGCAAAGAAAATTCGTAATGTCTTTGAATCCCGACCTGGCCCACGAGCCAAAAATTTAGAGAAAAAGCAGCGTAGAGGCGACCACTTCTTTAAAAATTTGCAGTTATTTAAATGTCTAGAAAATTCAAGCTTTTCGATAAATTAGAAGTGTACATAGGTCCGTCGCACAATTCCATAACTTTGAAAAGATTGACAACGTATTTTTGGGAGATTGGCTAGAAAGAAATATGGACTTACGAAAAAGATGGCTCACACATAAATTTATAAATGTTGTGTATCACCCCATGCCCATTTTTCTAAAAATTTTGGGAAAATATGCTCGTCAACCTCAAAAATCTCCAGCTACAAAAACGTGGCTAACACAAATTTTCGTCTTCAACCACCCTGAAAATCGCTGTAACTGTTACTGAATAGTAGCAATTCCCATCTAGGTCCTCAAGCACACTCCCGAAGAATATATGGCAAACATACTATACTATATCGATACGCTAGAATATAATTCCATACCCGACTACGATCACATCGCTGCACATCTTGAAGCTGCTATGTCGGTATGTCCAAGATTTTTTCATTTCTCAGTAAAAATTGAAAACGGCTTAATTTGAAATTCAGGCCTATCACCTCAGTTACACCGAACCTCTAGACTGGGATCTCATGACCGAATACAAAGGTCCACGTTACGTTAAAAATCTCGACTATGAGTTACATTGAAAATTGGTGAGTTTTGCTCTTTAGGCATTTCCATAAAAGGACATTTTGTATTTTAGGGGCTCCAAACCAATCAAAGCTAATTAATTACAAAGAACCGAATCTTCAACTAAATCTATTAATAAGCGATTGCTGTGATTATGTACGATTCTTCAATCGAAAACAAAATTTTGAATAAAAAAAGTTATTTATTGGAGAGTTGCAAAGCAATACAGAGATATCGTTGATTCATTTGCGACAATATGCGTATTGCACACAAGGCGCGCTACTTGACGGCTATAGGATTGAAAATTGTCAGTTCTTAGTTATTTCTCCTTATTTCCTTGCCTTTTTGATATAATTGGATATGCATCAATTAGTAGTACACAATTTTACAGTTTGCTATGCAAGGAAAAGTTTTTCTGAGAAGTTGCTAGTAAAGGCTTCGTCGGTTGCCGCGCACTGTGTGCAGATTCACACATTAACTTACAAATGGCTAGAGAATACAACTTTAGTCTCTACTTGTCATAATAATACAAGTTTTTGGTAGTAAGGAGGTTTCTTTGATTTAAATAGCTAATTCTAGTCTTTCGAATGCCTTTTTGAATATCTCGCATTAGGAAATTGTATGTTGCATGGACGTGGGTGAGGGTTTTACCCCAAACCTGCAGAATCACGTATTTTTCCTTGAGGTAAAAGCCCTCTAAAGTACATCTCAGATTTCATAGCAATGATAACAATTTACGCAGACTCCCCTGGCGACAATGAAGCCAACAGGTGCGATTAGCCTTGAGCGGATTAAGCATCCCTATCACCTGGAATACGGTAGCTGAGACGTATCTTCGTCATCTCTTACCAACCAGGTGGTTTATAAATCATTTACCCTCACGTAACTGTTGCGATGTCGTCCTACGGTGGTTATGACCGCACGGACTTTTTTGACCCAACTTACCTGAACCAGATTCCCGTGGCACCCTATGATGTATTCTACCCCCAAACACAGCCGCACCTGGAACCACAGATTAGTGGAGAACCTGTGTAAGTATTCCCACCGTCATTACCCCAAAGTGATGCTTAAATGGCCTCCAAAAGATGCAAGATTTCTCCAATAAGAGCGAATCACTGCGTGCTGCGGTTTTGGGGTTTCTGCCGAGGTCAAACCCTGCACGGTGGAAACCCCAAAAATGCCAGGTGCTGCCGCTTTTATTGCTTGATGTATGACTTCAAGCGTGCATCCACACTTTCTATGTATTCATTGAAGGTTTGCAGTATTTAGTTCTACGCCTACATTCCAGCATTCCATACGGATGGCGTCCGGATTGGTCACGTCCAACCGAATGGATACCACCGACACAGATTCTGCACACTCTACCACAGGATCACCGCAATACCTATGGGTAAGGATACTGTTAGTCTGGATAAAATTTGACTTTCATGGCCAAGTCTTTAACCGCTATCTTCTTAATTATTTTTGGGAAGTGTGAGAAGATTTTCAAGTGAAGTTACAAACGCCACACAAAGTCATTAAGTAAACAGAAGTGATAACTGCTGCTTTTCACCTACCTACCATCCCACACACTTGAAATTCGAAATCCCAACCTCACTGGCACTAAATATTATTCAGAAAAGCTTGTATTCTTAGAAAAACATTCACTATGGAAAAACTTGGTGCTTGAGATATATTTCTAATTATCCATTATTATTTTGTTCTGATGTGGGACACAATTTTCAAGGAGATATTCCACTACAAAAAATATTTGATCAATCTGTTTTCAACTTAGCACAAAATCAGAAGTTTTGGAGATTAGATGAAATCAGTGATTAGTGCCTCGTTGAAAAATGTTATTCTAATACGATTTGAACTTCTGTTATAGATATGTGGACATGACCAACCCAGTAGAAATAAAACCTTCGATACTAAAGCCGTTGACTCGAGAAACGCTTGCTAACAAACCATTCCGCTGTCAAGTAGGTTCTCAGTTTGTAATACAGTAACGAAATAATACCGTAATACAGTTTGTAATACCGTAACGAAATAATCAAGAGTGATGATTTTTAGCTCTGCGGCAAATCGTTCTCACAGGCGGCAAATCTGACGGCTCACAAACGAGTTCATACAGGTAAGCCTTACCGATAAGCCTGTAAATTTTTTGAGCTGTGACAAAGTAGAGTATGGAACTTTTGTTGCGAGTGCTGAGAACTGTCTGTAGAAATGTCATTATCAAGATCAAGACTGGATTATTCTCAGTTCTTCATTGCCCCTACGTTAATCAATTTTCTGATGGTATCGGATATTTGAAAGTCTCATATTGAAATTAAAACCAGCATTTCCTCATTTCCTTTGCTGTTGACCTCACATTACTTCAATAATCGTTGTCTCTTTCTGTCACAACTTATACTATGCCAAACTGATAAGTGATTTAATTTTTTGGCATAGTAACCAGCATAAAGTGCGGTTCATAATTATACGAACACCCCAAATTTTGGAAGTTCTTGGACTTTCTGACAGAAACTCTAAAAGCCGTTGGTACCACGCGAAAGAGCACAGCTGAAAACGGTATATGATCCATAAGAATGGAAATTGATGTAAATCTTAGAAGTGTTTTTGCGCCTAATGCAAATTTTTAGCGGTTCATAATTATACGAACACCTCAAACAAAGGTCCATTTTTCAATCAAGTTTGCAGTCATTTTAGTCCAAATTTATTTTGTAGAGTTACAGTAACAAGGTCTGACATATCTGCTACACACTGAACCCAGTGCAGTTCAAAAAGAGGACCGTTACTTTTTTCAAAAGGCTCTATATGCTTTTGGAGTGATTGCGCTCCAAAAACATCCGTTCTTCTGTAGTTTACGCGCTCTGATTAGCTTCTACCAAAGCTATGAGATAAAATAAGCTCTTTCGATAGGTATTTTGTTTGACGCTTGGAAAATCTTTGCGTTTTCGTGTCGTTTTTCAACCAAGTTCCAACCTTACCGCAGAGTTAGCACGATTTTAAGCCTCAAAACTCAGCTTCTGAAGCCGTACAATGAAGTAGGCACATAGTATGTGGAAGTTCACAAGACTGCATATTTGATTATAAAAAATTAGCAGCGCTGAGAGTTTGTTCTGGCCACGCAGGCGTCATTTCACCAAAAACACTGTTTTTACTATTGCAATCATACCTTTATTTAGTTTTTAGCTCCATAGCCTCAAGATCAGTTCTACAAAAAACCCAAAAACTTTGGCACAGAAACATCATCACGCAAATAATGCAGCGGCTTCATATCAAATGTTTGCGCAAGAAAGAAGCTGACTTTTGAGGCTCAAAATCGTGCTAACTCTGTGATAAGGTTGGAACTTGGTTGAAAAACGACACGAAAACGCAAAGATTTTCCAAGCGTCAAACAAAATACCTATCGAAAGAGCTTATTTTATCTCATAGCTTTGGTAGAAGCTAATCAGGGCGCGTAAACCACAGAAGAACGGATGTTTTTGAAGCATAATCACTCCAAAAGCATTTGGAGCCCTCTGAAAAAAGTAACGGTCCTCTTTTTGAACTGCATGAACTGCGCTGGGTTCAGTGTGTAGCAGATATGTCAGACCTTGTTACTGTAACTCTACAAAATAAATTTGGACTCAAATGACTGCAAACTTGAATGACAAATGGACCTTTGTTTGAGGTGTTCGTATAATTATGAACCGCTAAAAATTTGCATTAGGCGCAAAAACACTTCTAAGATTTACATCATTTTCCATTCTTGTGGATCATATACCGTTTTCGGCTGTGCTCTTTCGCGTGGTACCAACGGCTTTTTGAGTTTCGCCCAAAAAGTCTAAAAACTTACAAAAATTTGGGTGTTCGTATAATTATGAACCGCACTTTAGATATAGGTGGCACGAATACTGAAAAAAGAACTCTGATTCGAAAAATCAAAAAATAAGTCATGACACCTAATGATTTGCTATTAGGTAGTTTACTTTGTAAAAACTGTAGTATATGACTATCTTCTAGGTGAACGGCCCTTCACATGTCCAATCTGCAATCGACGATTTTCACAAAGCTCTTCCCTAGTTACACATCGAAGGTAAGAAGTGACATGACTCTTATGGAAATAGAATTATTTTGCGGAATGAGGTAATTGAAGAAACAAAAGATAAACGGATTGATCTAGCAATTGCAAGTGCGTATATTTTTGACACAAGAACAAGCGCACCGAATTTTTTCCCTTGATGAGATTTAGCAAAATCCGAGATTTTTCATTTTTTGGTTGTGTGTTTTGGAATACCATGGTTATTGGCATGATGCTGGCCATTACAACTTGTTAGACCTCTCGACATTGCTAACGCGCCCCATTTGGTATACTGTAGCTGCCGCGATTACAGTAACCATAGCAACTCGCTGCCAATGAAGATCTCCTGGACGCTGCTAAAACAATTACCGTCTTTGGATTAATAAGCTTAGTAGCTTATCCTTATTGAGGTTTATTCTAATCGATTAAGGACACTTAGTAAGAGCAGATGCTTACTATACTCTAGACAGCAACGATAGCGTAGATTTTTGTTTTCTAAGCGAATTAGCCCTAACTATGGCGTAAGTGCGAATGTTTATTTATTTGCATGCCCTCCGTCCCCAATTCTTCCATCAACGGGTGATGATGTTCATTTCTGTTTCATGTAATATGAATCTTCCAGAACGCACACAAATGAGCGACCGTATCAATGCACTCATTGCGACAAGAAGTTCACGGATAGCTCAACACTCACGAAACATTTAAGAACACATACAGGTAGGTAAAGGAGCGCAAGCTATTTTATCAAAGCATTAGATGTATGATATCAAAAAACCACGAAAAATCTCCACGTAGCACAATTTTTAAAACACTGCGTAACTCTTACACCCAGATATTCCGAATAATCTAGAAATTACGCTAAATGTATGAAAATAAGGGAAATTCTTAGTTCTTTTCAAAGTCGTATAAATCGAAATTCACCTTGTTTTCATTCCACAAGCATAAATCGAAAATTAAGCCATCAAAAGACTCGGGAATATATTAGGTTGTCCCGAAAGTATTGTCCGTTTGTCCCGAAAGTATTGTCCGTTTTTTCAAACCACTATAAAACCAGTCACAATAAAGACCTGAATGAGTTTCAACATGCATTCGATGCAGCTTTTCCTTCTCTTTCTTATGGATACATTTTCGAACCACAACCTTGTATGCTTTTTTGATAATTGCCAAAACCACCCGTCAACTTTATCTGCTCAAAGTTAAGCTAATTCTCAAACATTTCATTCCAAAGTTTCGGAAAGGGCTAAGTATGGATCAAATAGAGCAATTCTCTGATGACTACAAGGTAATATTTTTAGATTCTCCTAATTTGCTTTTTTAGCTTTGAAAAATTATTTATTCGGAAGTCTCGATTTTTGGCAAAGTCATGAAAAACGCGACTGCATACACGAAAGCTTTTGAAGCTCCCGCGAATTGAAACATGATTCCTACTAAACACTATTTATGCAAAATAACGAAATTTGATTTGCTTTGGAAAAACAGCATTTTGGAATTTTCGGTACTTTTACGTGCTAAACGCAACCAAAAGGCCGCGGTTTTTATTGAATAAATAATTATAACGGACTTGGTAAACGTGCCCCATATAATTCAGAATCGACGCAATGTACCCAAAGGTTTGCTCTACATAACGATTACCAGCGCTCGTTGAAAACATCAGGGTAAAATTTTTCAAAATTTAGGAAAGATTTGGCATTGCTGTCGAGCTGCTCAAAAAGCCATGGCGATAACATTGCAAAGACAGGGTAGATGAAAGAGCAAATATAACTGTTGAAAAGGGGTAAAAATATGAATCAAAAGATAACTAGGTCGTCTATGGATTGGTGTTCTGTGATTTTCAGCGAGCAATGAAAAAACGGACAAAACTTTCGGGACAACCTAATATATATTGAAGCTCATTATTTCTCAAGATGTATATTATAAAATGCTTATTATCTCTCATATGTATAACAGGTCAGTTGCAGGACAAAAGCCATACGGATGCGAAGTCTGCTTTATGCGTTTCACCCAATCCGGCAACCTTCATCGACATATGAAAACGCACAAGAACCTCCAATGATTGTTTGGAAACCTCTACTATTTTGAATTGATCTATCCCTCAACAAAGCAGCCTTTATGCTGAGATTTGATTCCGAGCAAACCAAAAGACCATCTTTTTTTTATTATAGATGATTCGAAATGTATGTCGAAATTAGGACGATCACCATACTGCTATGTCAATGTTTATATTCATGACTTTTCTTCCTTATAGATTGTGATATTATTTCTAACTTATAACCCACAAGCTAACAATAAAGATTTAGCGTGTTTTTCAAAAGAAAAGGCTCAAACACAGACGTGAGCAAACTTTCCTCTTCCCTCCTGCATAAGATCACTATCAACTGGAACATTGAGTACATTACCTTTAAGCACAAATTCTATCATGATGACTATGCTTCATCAATTGCCACGCCCGTCATCCATGATTGGTCGGTGTTGGGCTGCTTGGCTTACGCCGACCAATCGAATGCGCGCCGCATTTTAATACAGTTTTTTTCAAAGCATAAGATATCAATGCTCACGCGATAGAAAATCCACCCTCTTCCTTGTTTCTAACTTGCTAGGAGTGAAGAAAATGTTTCTCCGAAAGTCCCTGCGATGATTAAACTACGAATGCAAGAGAGGAGAAAACCTTTTGGTCCCAGCGGCAGTTGAAATAGTGTCAACAATCAGTTTTCAACTCTGCTGATGACAGCACATACTTCATCTTACTTTATTATGGCATTATTACATATTCGAGATCAAAAGAAGAAGAAAGTGATTGAAATGCAATAACGCCGCATTTTTGAGCTTCAGAGAAAGAATACACTGTCAGTAATACTGAAGTAACATACATGAGGTCATTGAGTACCCTAAACGTACCATATAAAGATCATAAATGTAGGCAACTTGACAAGCGAAAGCACAGTATTTGAACACAACCAAGATTTGCTTGACAACAGGAAGCTTAGCAGCTCCGCGAGTAAAAAGACCTGTGATAAATCTCAATTAAAATGAATTACATAGTCTTAATAACCAAAATAACTATAAATCATATAAATAAGAGCCAAGTACTATATCTTGCCATGCACAATGAAGGGTACGATGCGCATCCATTTGAGCACATCATCCAAGGGCTCCTTCAAAGGTGTAGAGCAACCTTCATGGTCAAACTCAAGCATGCTGCATTTATCATCGTGGAAGAAAACATCACTGAAAATCATCTGTACTCAACTGAAACGAACACAGAAAAAATCAATATATTAACTCAAGTGGCTCGTTCAAAATTACTGTTTTTCAGAGGTTTTGCATAGATTTTATTTGCTAGTATACCATTAGTGCTACGCAAAGAAGAAAGAGAGTTATGGAGTTACTTCGCTCTAATTCTAAGTTGAAGGCAGCCCAAAAGTCAACTGTCTTTTCACATAGATATCATTGACAACAACCTATAAAGATGTTATTTAGCTGATGGTGCATCGATATGAAACCCAAAAATTCTCAGAACAAAGGTAACAACGCCTCATCTTTTGAACAGGCACCAAGTAATACTTTCGAGTGAGTATGGATGATCTAACACAGAAGAAGCATTTACCTCTCTTCGATGTCTTCTCCGACAAGGCTATCGTATCCCCGTAAAAAGATAAACATACGCTGTCCGGAATGACGAGCTTCTTCGGGTGGAAAAGCCTGTAAATGAAAAAAGCTAATTGAGTAGACGAAATCTTTTTTGAAAAAAAACGGTAAGATAAACAAGAAGTTGCAAAGGTGACTAAAAAGCACAAAAGTACCAAAAATAACTGCCGATTTATTCGCCGCTTTTCCACATCGGACAACTCAGAACATGGAGAGCCACAGCATTCATCACGTGAGTCTTCTGCATCGCAGATTGAGATTGGCATTTCTGAAAGCAGCGAAAAGAAAAAAAACGAAGAAAATTATTAAATCTTTTGGCAGCGATCAAGAGAAGATGGGCCAAGCGCTCACAATACAAATTCCAAAAACCTATCGAACACCAATTAAATGATAATTGATTATGAACTTACTGTAAGCATGGACAATACGATGAGGATTCGGTCCAACGCACAACGCTACCTCGCGAATTGAACGACGAAATCGCGACCGAAAAACGCTTTGCAGAACTTCTCTGACCTTCAAACGTACAATGATTGGAAGATAAGGTCAAAAAAGTAAGTAACTCAAGAAATGAGTAGGAGAACTAAATCACGAAAAATTAAAAAAAAACACCTTAGAGATCCCATTCAACGTCTTTACAAGGCTGGGAGGTGGTGACGGAGGCATTAGTGACAGCGGACATGGCAGAAGACCATGATTCAGCAAAAGTGATTGCATAGCAAGATCGAGGCACTGCAGCGATGAATGAATGCAGATGCATCGGTCTGCATGCATTCTATGGCTGGTGCAGGACATCCTAAAAAGAGAGTGGAGCTAAATTAGGACACACTTAGCAAAAGCAATACCAAGGAAGAATTTAAAGTATAAACGGCATTTACCGCATAAAAAAATTCTGTCAAATCAAACAAAGCTTTATTGACACCTACGATACAAGGCGACATGGAATAAACGTAACAAAGAAGCAAAAACAATATGAGCTAATAACAAAACAAACAACCCCGGTCATTTTTTCTCACGTAACGCTTTGATGAACTCTTCCATTTCCCGTAGTTTTTCGCGCTCACGTTTCCGCTCCCGTTCAGCTTCTTGCGTTCTTCGTCGTTTCCGCTTTTCTGCTTCGGGATCCTCGCGTGTGCTGCGTCGCGAGCGCGATTTGTCTCTATCATTTTCCACTAAAATGTCAATCGATTTTCTCGACTGCTCAATAGTTTCCAAAGTTTCTTCAAGGGTCACTAAAAATAGAAAAAGTTCTTTATAGGATAGGACAGATTGGAAATTCGAAGAGAAAAGACAAACAGCTAGAAATACTAACCAATTTCTACTGATGGACTTCTTTTTCTTTTATTTAACTTGGCCAATGCTGTCCTTGCTCTTCGATCCTCTTTCAATCGCAAAACTTTCTCGTATTTCAACTTCGCATTGTCCACTTCTCCTTGGACTTCCAGCCTAAAAGACAATGCTTTTGTCGGACAAAGACAAACAATAGGGCAACAAAATGCCATATTTGAACTCCCCATAAATTAGAAAAAGAAAAAGTAACCCTCAAACTCCTCAACAAAAATGGGGAGATGCAAACTCACAACGAAGCATGCTTCACCAGCGTCTCCACCATATAGTTACGAGCATTGGCATGCGTTGGCGCCAATTCTAGCGCCTTGTCAAAATCAGCTTCAGCCAATGGATAGTGGCCGTTTGTCGAATATCTGCGCGATGCGACGCAAAAAACAATGGTGTGGTTGGTAGCATGAGGTCAGAACTCACGCTGCGCCTCTTGCCACAAGTGCTTCGACGCAATGTGGGTTGATTTCGAGCGCTTGGTTCAAGACGACGATTGCCGATTCGCGATTGCCGGATCTCATCTGTTCCACACCGCGTACCACATATTCTTCGGCTAACATCTCATTCTGTCGCTTACGAAGCAAGGACGCGGGTTCGGCTCTGTCCTGAATCAAAACAGTTGGAAGTCATGGAAGTAACAAACAAAATTTAAGAATCGAAAATATTGGAATTCAAATAGACCTAAAATTTCTTTTTATTACGACTCATTTCTGCAGTTCGACTAGTTAATATATGAAAAACTAATTTATTTTTTCTCGCTTATTCTTTTTTTGTTGCAACTCGAATGTAAATGGACAAATAAATGTACTAAATTAGTCAAGTGGAAAGGCAAATGACGGACCGTAAAATCAAAAAATCTACAATACCGACCTTTTCTAACCCTTCGATAACCAAGAACGAGTATGGAGATACGATGGGAAACCGAAGAGTCTCTGCCAGGTACGTATTCCGTAGCAATCCACTTTCTTCGATGTAGTCCCAATAACGGGAATGTCGTGGCATGTCACGACCATTCCTGAACAGCAAGGCTTGATAAGGAACAAAACGAAACATACACGCAGAAACTCAAAACACCAAAGAAAACGGGGGCAAAATCAAAAGACTTACCTGAAATACTCGGGCAGTTCATTGGTAGCCAGCGGAGGAGCCTCAATAATCAAGAATGAAAAAGCGAAGCGCATACAAAACGATAAAATGATAAAAACTCTACATATAGTAGTGCCTACATATGGTAGGTGCCTGAAAAGTTGTAAGTGGAAATAAATGATAACATATAGAGATCAAAAAAAAAAAGAAAAGAAAAAATAAGCAGCGTGACACTGCAGAGAAAGATTAGAATGATATTATGAAGTTCAAGACTACATGATATATAACTGAAATTAACGAATCAAACCTACTTCCAAAAGTTCGACCTTAACCGGCTGTACGCTACATATGCGAGCTTCTAGGTATTGCCCGACAGCGACTCGACGTGACAACGCCGACAAGGGTGTCAAAAACTGAAGATGCCTCGTCTTGCATACATACAAAGTGAAACAATTTTCAAAAAAAGTTGACCTGTAGATCCAACCACTCCAGATCTCGTTTTATCCGAGTGGCAAAACATAGTGGCTTCACATAGGCGCCGACAACATCACATCGTTTCACTTTTACGATGAGGATATCTCCGACGCGAGCATCTTCCTCGAATTTTTCTATTGCACTGAAATTTAAAAAAAACACTAAAATGGAAAATTGTGCATTTTGAGAAACATCAAGTTTGAATGAAAAAGAAAGAAATAACATGAAGAATCCACTGGCAATAACATGAAGAATTTGTAGGGTTAGAATGTCAATAAAAAGAATCTCAGGGAAAAAAACGAGAAAAAAAGCGCCAACTATCTCAAACTCAGATGGTAAGTTTCTTCTGGTGTTTGCTTTGACACTTCATGCAGACCTAACAACAAAGAGCTAATGTCAGGTCCATCTACACACTGTCAACATAATAAGATGGATGACCTTGGAGCACGTAGCTTGACCAGCTGACCGCATTTTGAATCTGTTTGCTCAAGGAGAAATGCCGCGGCATCCATAATTAGCGCACTGCGAAACCACTGCGATCAGCTTCGACAAATGCGTAATTATCCCTGATTCTATTTATGCTGGCGATTACGACACACAAAAAAACGCGAAAAATATAAAACCTTTTCAAAGTAGATTTCCGGGGAAAAAAGAATATGGATACTACATTATAATCCTCATACGAATATATGAAGCAAACCAAAGCGAATCTCACTCCCCCTCCCTCCACGTTTCTAGTAATGCAGGTTGAAATGACATCCTATGACAAAATGAGTCTCAAGATGCTGCGTTTTCCGTGCAATACGCATAGAAATTCTTCATTTTTCATTTTAATCAATACTTCTCGAATCAAATTGCAAGCACGATGCCCTTGGTCAATCACTACGTAATATATTTTGGAATCGCTGTTTACCCATTAACACCCCTGGTCCGTGGAACATGCCAAACGAGGAGGCAGCAGACGGAGAAATTATGAGAAATATACTGATCTTTGTCTTTGGATTGCTGCCAAGTGGCATGCGTTTTGGAACGCTGCCAAATTTCAAAACGAGTGACCAAGCATATTTTCGTAAAAGGGTCACACGTATTTCAAAAGGCAATCATGAGGTCGCAATGATTTTGAGACTGGGTCGCCAGTGTCCGGGTGTCCGGGTGGTTATTTGTAGCTGTTTTTTTTTCGAGCTTGTTATCCCAGAATGTGTCTTTCAAATATGTTGTACTCGTATTAGTTGCTTTTGAAATGATGCCAAATTGCGTAACAGCGTGACTTGAGCTAAATTCATCTAACAAGGAAACCGTGTCGAGTCGAAGTGGCCTTTCCAAATGAGACCCATACTGCTTTGAAGGGTATTAAACGGTGATTCCAAATCTGCTTTCCAAATCTGCCAAGCGCCTCTGGACGCCGAGTTATGACCGTTCTTCGGAACAAAAAATGAATGCAGAATTTAGGTAAAATTGATTGTTATAATCTTTCCAGCGCTCAGATAAAGCAATATTAAGTATTAGCATATTGAATAAAATGTATCCATTGCATAAACAGCTCTGGTATTTGACACTGGAGCATTTAAGCAAATTTGGGCGATTTTGCTTCAGTGCGTTCAATTTTTTGACCTGAAAAACGAGCATAACTCGGCGTCCAGAGGCGCTTGGCAGATTTGGAAAGCAGATTTGGAATCACCGATTAATGCTCTTCAAAGCAGTATGGGTCTCATTTGGAAAAGCCACTTCGACTCGACACGGTTCCCTTGTAAGTTCCCAACTCTTGTGAAAATGCTCTAACTAAGAACAGTCACTTTAGGATCGTCTTGCTTCCACGTGTAGACAAGAGAGTGCGTGAGTAACTTGGTCTCGCTGGTACTTTTGGAAACGTTTACCTAACAAAAGCCTTGCTTGTGCTTGTTAATGGGTCCCGCTGGTGCTTTCAACTAGGCGGTGTGTAAGCGGCACGTAGGGCAATTGCATGGGGCAGGGAAACAGATTTTTGTACGTTTGGGGCAGTTCTTATAATTTTTAAACGGTCTTCAAGCGGCACATAGGGCAACTTGATCGGGCCGGGGAACAGATGTACGTTTGGGGCAGTTCTTATAATTTTTAAACGGTCTTCAAGCGGCATGTAGGGCAACTTGACCGAGCAGGGGAACAGATTTTTGTACGTTTGGGGCAGTTCTTATAATTTTTGAACGGTCTTCAAGCGGCACGTAGGGCAACTTGACAAGCAGGGGAACAGATTTTTGCACGTTTGGGGCAGTTCTTATAATTTTTAAACGGTATTCAAGCGGCACATAGGGCAACTTGATCGGGCCGGGGAACAGATGTACGTTTGGGGCAGTTCTTATAATTTTTAAACGGTCTTCAAGCGGCACGTAGGGCAACTTGACCGAGCAGGGGAACAGATTTTTGTACGTTTGGGGCAGTTCTTATAATTTTTGAACGGTCTTCAAGCGGCACGTAGGGCAACTTGACCGAGCAGGGGAACAGATTTTTGTATGTTTGGGGCAGTTCTTATAATTTTTAAACGGTCTTCAAGCGGCACGTAGGGCAACTTGAGTACGTTTGAGGCAGTTCTTACAATTTTTAAACGGTTTTCAAGGGCAAGTAGGGCAACTTGATCGGGCAGGGGAACAGATTTTTGTACGTTTGGGACAGTTCTTATAATTTTAAACGGTCTTCAAGCGGCACGTAGGGCAATTGCATCAGGCAGGGGAACAGATTTTTGTATGTTTGGGGCAGTTCTTATATTTTTAAACGGTCTTCAAGGGCAAATAGGGCAACTTGATCGGGCAGGGGGACAGATTTTTGTACGTTTGGGACAGTTCTTATAATTTTTGAACGGTCTTAAGCGGCACGTAGGGCAATTTAATTGGGCAAAACAAATTTTTTGCACGTGTATGCAGTTCTTATGATTGACGGTCTTTAAGTGGCTCAGTAGTGTGCTTTTCGGGGAGGGATCTACTTATGTAGAAAAGCATGTAGCAAAGCTTCATATTCCTTTGGCAAAGATATTGAAAATTTTCTGACAAAGTTCTTACAGATTGATTTCGTTGCTATCGGAGTTGATTTTGAGAGAAAAATTTTTTGTAGTACACAATTGTTGTGGGTGTATTTCTTCTTCCAAAACGATAGGTGTTCTTCTACTTTCTTGACGATCTTCTATGGAAATTGTTAAGAACTGGAAGAGCAAAATCTCTTTGAGAGGGTAGAAAAGATGGGGGGGGGGGTATCTGAATGTCTCTGTGAGGAGGGGAAATTTGCAGAAAGAGCGTGGTAAACGAGAGAAAAATAATACCCCATGCGTGGTTGCAGCAGGAATTTCGAGAAATGCTGAATGATTTGTGGAGATTGCTTCTTCGAACACTTTTCCTTTTGTAGAATGCTTCGCAAAGATGTTCTCAGCAAAGGCATAGGAAACTTATTTAGAACTATATAATTACAACAGCCCTTATATTAGATCCGCCCTTACCCACTTGCTAGCGACCCGGAGGGTCGTTAGTATGCGAATATGTTCAAAAGATAATTTTCCATCTTGGCAAATATCGAAACGATTCGGATAAGCTTTTCCCCTAATATAGAGTGGATAAACAAAATGATCAGAAAAGTGGTAAATCTGGCCCTTACTAACATAGGTGGATATGGAATCTTGAATTGCAGTGAATGAAAATAATCGAATCTTCTTAGTAACATTAGCGAGGATCCATGTAGAGATGACCGCAAAAATGACAAAGAAGCCGAGTCAATAAGAGAGAAGCTGTTACGAAACATAAGGTTCTGGGAACATATTTCTTGAACCCTCTTATCGCACTTCCAAGCAGTACTGCGATGTATTAAACCGATGAGGATCACCTAGCACCATTCAAATGGCAGTAATTATACGATTCCATGATAAGGAAGATTTTTCTCACAATAAAAATGGCTTTGCCTTTCCATCTTATAATAAACGGACACTTCCATAAACATAATTGTTATTTAAATCGTGCATGTGAAGGAGTGAAGGAAGCGTTTAGAGATCGAAGGAAAACACAATTGGAAACGAGAATAATCATACCTAGACTCCGATATACGCTCGGCAAAGCATTCATATGCTGGCACTGATGAGACCGAAGGCAAATCCAGTTGTAGCCCTTCTTGTGAATTGGGTATCTTCGAGATGATCTCCTTCGCTGCATTTCTTATACTTCGTCTTCGATCTCGACTACTACTCATCTGAGTCACCAAAAGGTGAAGAAATTGCTAGCTTCAATGTAGAATCTGAAACGCGGGATAAAGCTAACAAAGCTCACATTTCACTCAAAGCAGCACAAGGCGCTTATCTGACGTGCTGATTGGGAGAATGACCCTTTCCACAAGATTACGGTAGGTATACGGTACGTGAGTTTTCGGCAGAGATATAGTGAATGTGAAAATCACAGATCAAGCTAAAATCTATCTCAGTGGGGACTAAAATTGCAATTTTTGATTATGTATTCTATCGTTCGTTCGCTTTCACTAGAGTGGGCGGACCACTGCAGACATGACATGACATGTAATCGGTCGATAAACCTCCATCCTAGAGCATTGTTTTTTGTACTCTCTCGCCATCCAAAGCCGCCGCGCGTGTACGTAGACAGTGCTCCGCCCACTCTAGCGAAAGCGAGCAAACGATAGATTGCGTTGCAATTAGCCACAAGACATTCGCAAAGCAAGCAGGACATTGCCCTCAAAAGTGAGAAACAGAAAAACTCCGCTGACTTGACTTTACGTAATCAAATCGATTATAGGATAGTGTAGGGAACTAATTTTCAGAGCACTTCTCGATTTGAGAAAACAGGGAAGAGTATGGATTAGGATTAGAACACAAACCCTTCTCGATTTAATGAAGACTTCTGGCAACTTTGACGCACTACAACTCATACCACAAAAAGAAAAGAGAACAAAAAGGGTGAGACACCAATATTCGCAAAAGAAAGGCCAGGCTTGTTCTCAATGACGATGCTAATTCTACACGTATCAAAAACTGCTTCCAAAATGCTTTTTGGATAATGAAAAGGTAAACAAAATGCAAACCATATAAGATTCCGTCAGCAAAAGAACAAAGAGGCAAACGTGAGGGACCAGAGGACTTCCAGCATAACATTAGCCGTACGCAAATTTACACCAGTGGTGTAATGCGCCCGACGGGGGGAACGTCCGGAAGGCGACAAATGACCTAGAACAGGCGCAGCTAGTGGCCACGCCCTGTCCGAGTTTCCCGTTGTTAGGATGCTCTGGATATTTGGATTGGGGCGCCTTTACACATATTGCGCATGGCTCTCTCAATCTCTGGCTTCGTAGTTTCCTCTCACGTGGTTTTTGAACGTGTTTTTGTTTCGTGTATGTATATTATTGCTTACTGTGGTAAATGATTTGCTTTCTTTTGTATTTGCCTATCTGTTAGCATATGCTCTTTGCTCTTGTAAAACTGCCTTTTGTAGAAATTTTTGTTTCAGGCTGCAGCAATATGTATAGTGCAATAGAAGATCATCCTACTATGAAGGTTAATAGATACCTGCGTTCTTGAGTGATGTGTTACTTTTGTATTTTTTCATAAGTTAGGGGTTTATTTGAGTATACCATATTTTTATATGTTGATTAGTTCTTGTGCAGACCTCGTCCAAGTTGATGATGGACGGATAAAATGTGAGTAGAATCCCACTCAACAACGGTACTGTAAGCCAGTCATATCAAGTAAAGGTGAGCCATTATTCTTTTGCATCTTCTTCACAATACGACTTTTCTTCAGGCTGAACACAGAAGAAGATTTGGAGCACTTCGAGCAAGGACGCATTCTGCGGTGGGACCTCGATTTTGAGATTATTCGAGCACTTCATTTTTTTTTTGATTTCAGCTGTCGCTTGCAATACACTGTAATGTGATAATGACAATAACCATTCTTTTTTTCTTATTGTTAGCATTGCTGCCTTTTTTTCATTGAGAATAAAGGATTACGTTCAAACTGTAGGACAGAACAGCGCAGAAAAGCACGAGAAAGGTCATAGAAGTGATTATGGAATGCGGGTTTGCTAAATGGGTTGAGTAATTAGACAGTTTTGGATTTCTTGCAAAAAGAGTTTGTATTTCTTCCACCGAAACGGAGCTGACTATTAACAGTATGATCGTTCTGATTGATCTTGTCTGTTTGAACAAAACCACAGTCGGTCTTTGTCATGCCCTGATTACCCTTCATGACGAGCTCAGTACGATGCATAATCTATGAATCTGAATGTGACAAATCGACTTCGGTGAATCAAAAGAATGAAGATCGCGGAAGAACTGCACTCCTAGATCAAAAGAACGCGCTTTCGAGGAAACTGATCTGCTTATAACCCGTTTTTGGATGGTGAATTGCGATTGTGTTCTCTCATTTGTCCCAAAGCTATAATAACGTGTTTCATAGGTCTGTAATGCTTGACCTTTCTAATCTTGAATTGAAGGAACCAAAAGTTGCACTAACAAACTTATAGACAAGTATCAACAAGGAGATAAACAGGTTTGAAGTGACACATTTACTCCGTACACTGCTTAGCCCATATTTGACCAGTAGTTTGACTCTAGGCAACAAGCAAATCAATAGGAACTCTGAAGAATCGTGCTACCATTAGTGCGCCAGCGCGTGTGCCGAAAGAGCGTCAGTCCTTAACCTGGTTGACCTCGCTTCGGTGTCACAGGCGCTCATGGGGGGCGTGGCCTCCATGCGCTCGCTCCAACTGCGTTTTGTCGCCTTCCGGCCTACACCCGCCCGACGGTAGGTTCGAATTCGCTTTTCATTTTTGGGAAGTTTCATCCACTTGTGAATTTAGAAGGGGTGTTCAGTAAACTCTGTCCCTATAAATGTTCCCACAGGTGCCATCAACGTGGCGCTGATCTTTTTGGAATGTTCGAATAAGTGCCTCAAATTTGTTGGGACTGTGTCCTAACGTGTTAAACGATCGGTTGGTTTGGAATTAAATGAGTAGAAAAACTACTCCCTCGTCCCATATCCTCTTCTGAGAGTTTTTTCTTAACAAGCACAGATGAGCCTCCTACGCTAAAATTGTCGAAAACAAGAAGAATTACAAATGCGTATTGATTGCGCCATGTAAAAACGCGTTGAGAGCGCTGAGAGTTCGACAGTGGGCGGCACGCGAGCCGAGGGGCGTTCGGCACGCCGATCGCAGCGGCTGGCGAGATGATTCGTCTCAGATGAAGGATTTTCAGGTGAGTTTCTGGGGTTTCCATTATATTGCAATTCAATTTGAATTTTGTGAGGGTCTTTGATCTTAGCGACTCGATTTAGTGGTGGTGATACATGAAGTAAGGCTGGCAAGTTTTGTGATTCGCCTTATACTGCCTTGAGGCTAGGACGGTAGGTAAGTGCTTTGCTTTGATATAAGTGTCAAAGGCACATTGGAAGAAAAAAGAGATGGACAAGAGAAACCGTGCACATAATGTTCCTCAACTCAACTTTATCTGGGTTCTGGCAATGCAGAAAGCATTCATTTAAGTTGCAATTTTGACTAATTCCGCTTTTTACATTGTTTGACGACCAAAGCAAGACACGGATAATGTCTCGGTATGCAGAGGAAGTTTCTATTAGAAATTTCCTGCGTGATTTTTCGCATTTCCAGGCGCCAGTCTCATCCGCTTCAAGTGTTTCATCGGGTTCACCCCATTCGCTACTGGTCAGATCGTCGAACTGACCGGTAGCGATCGGAGTGAACCGGATAAGTCTGGTACCTATAGGGCTCTGCTTGATCGCGAGAGTCGGTGAGTTTGCGGCCATTCTACGCGCATTGAGCTTACTCTGTTATCTTTATCCCTTCAAGCGCTTTACATTATCAGAATGTTAGCTTCTAAGTACCTGAAACGATTTGGATATATGCGGGATGTTTTACTTTCAAGGTCTTGTGGCATATGCATGTGCAACAGCCGAAATTTCACGGACTCGAGAGCCCTATGGGATCGTTCAGACCGCGCACAAAGGCTCACGAAGGCGCGTCTCGCCTCGTCTCCTTTATCTCGACACACACAACTCCACACGCCTTCGTGCGCCTTCATGCGCCTTCGTGCGCGGTCTGAACGATCCCTATACTCACACTAAGAAAGTTAAGCACTAAACAACTTACGTGCTGCTTGCAAAACTTGTTAGTTTTTTAATGGATAATGGTGGGTGTGAGGATGGCGGGTAGAGGGGTAGAGGACATGAGGTCGCCATTAGGCTCCACCCACGCGGACAGATAGCATGTGATAGTGATGGTGAAGACGCACGGTTTGTTGCAAGAGTCGTGAGCCGCCTCCTTCGGCGACCTAATGTCCTCTACCCCCGGGGACTGTTTGTCACCGAAGGAGGTGGTCCTACGCGGACATCTGAAACAGGCCACGCAGCTACAGTCTCTCCCAGTAGGGATGAGGACGAACCGTTTGCTAGATTTTTGCGTGCACCCAGCGCCGATGAGTTTGCGCTGCATATGCGCACTGTCGGAAAGAGCGAAAAGATCGAAGAGGCGCAGGCAAGCTATATGCGCGACCTTAGACGCGAAAGCATAGATGCGGTCTCCCGCCATGCCAATTTTAATCTGATTGGGATTGGGGCAGGAGGTAGTATATTACGGGTAGAGGACTACATGTCGCCGAATGTGGGAGGGTACTGCGGACCTCTTGCAAAACGCACCTCCGTGCATGTGCAAGGGTGCGTGTTTGTTGCAAATGACTGCGGGGCCGCTTCCTTCCGGCGACATATAGTCCTCTACCCGCATATTACACACACTACAGATTTACATCAGCTCTCGTGCGGGGAGGAGCCTGTCGTCGACATATGGTCCCGTACCCGAGTAGCATCCTATACTCAGGTCACGGCTTGAAAAATTTTTTTGTTAAAGACAGAGTCCAGGCAAGGTCTGGACACATGGGGATCTCACATGGACAGTAAATTTGGGCCCTTAGCTAAGCCACTGCCCAAAAGGCAGCTCAGGCAGTGCTCTAACGGCTGAGATATCCTCGAAACTGGACCCCAGGTATTTAGATCGTATTTCGCTTGGATTCATGGCGCACGCGTGGGTCCTCGCGCGAAATGGCCATGTCATGCGGAAACGATCCTGGGGTCCAGTTTGGAGGCGTATATCTTAGCCCTTAGTGAATCACCTGCGCTGCTGCTTAGGCAGTGCCTTAGTTAGGGCCCCAAAATTACTTTCCACGTAAAATTCTCAGAGGTCCAGATCTGCCTGGACGCTGCCTTTGAAGTGATCCTCTGTCTCAATGACATTGACGCCTGCTCCATCGCCTCAGGTTCCGAGCGGTACCACGCTTAGACTCTGCTTTGACCCATCTTAGACCCTGCGTCTGCGGACGTACCCCCCCCCCCCCCCCCGGCCATCTTCCCACCGCCGCTCAGGCATCAAGCTGTGCAAAGGATACATCACGCGCCGCAGGGTCCGCGCGAGAGTGCAGCAACTGGCGGTGTCATTGAAACAGTGGTTCTAGCTTGACTGAGTAATGATCAAATAAAAGCGTATGTACATGAAAATTGTAGAACGATTTTATGCGAATACATTGCATCATTACTGATTTCTAATTTGGTTTGCCATCTCGCGTTTAAGTCCTTGCATTGACCCACAATAAGAAAGGTTTCTCAGATACTGATGCACGACGATGGTTAAGAGATATACGTGCATTATATGCGGAAACAAAATTGTCGGAAGCCTTGCATCACGCACGTCAAAAAATCAGGTGCACAATGCAATCTTCCTATCAGCTCTGCGGATTTTCACATCGGTAACACCGGAAGTTGTGGAAGTATACCATTCGCAATTCAACAAGACGCAAAAGTTTATCTGCGTCAGTCATTTTTTATATACTGTAAGTTTTATCTGACTACATATAACAGAAAGTATTATTCGACATTACAGGCACAAAATCTTTTGGCTCGCACGGTCATGAGCGGTGGAAAAGTGTCAAAGACAGCAGAAAACGTGGCATATCTAAACGATTGAGAAATTCCAGCCCACCTGATAGACAGACTAAACATTGAAATCCAGTCGTTCGCAGTTAGTGTCATAAAACACAAGATGAGAACTACCTTTACTTTTGTATGCCAGGGTAACACAGCCGTGTGTAGGTCCGATGTATCCCGTTACATAAATTACTACATGAAAAAGTACGCGGATACCATTGACTGGAACGTTTTCCAAGAAGTTAGCAGCAAAGAGTCGAAGGATGACCATATTCACTTCACGGTGAGTACAGCTTCAACAGTAATTTATGTTATAACTTGTAACCTTTTTAGGGATTCGAGAAATTAGCGTCCGCTTCTGAAGCTCCCATTCCATTGGCTCACACTGATCAGAGGCCACCGAAGGTCAAGCTCAATGTTCTAGGATGCTCTAGCAAGCCAGTGGTCAGTGTATCTATTACAAAGCATCCGTTTAGAGCTAAGCTTTAGCTTCCCTGAACGCTAAGTTACTAATTTTAGGGTGATTCTTGCTCTTCTTTGGTCAAATCGCGGGTTGATGAAGAAACAGAGCCAGAAGCCACAGAGACTCAACTCTATTGAGTTGATAAACATATTATACTTTGAATATGTATATACTATGTTAAGATTGCTCAGCTCATTACAACTGTACTCAAATCAGATAGAAGTCTATGTTTCTGTTTTTTGTTGGAGAAGATTTTCTGATTTCCCTTTTAACTCTGCAAAGTTATTGGACTGTATATAGGTACTATGTATGTACATTGTTAAGATTTTCCGTTGTAAAGAAGGTTTTCTGTCTAAATTTACTAATCAGATGCATGCAAACGACTGTTGAGAGCATCTTTGAAAACTTGGAAGTGATTGATTTATTCAGGGAAACACAAAGTCAAATCGTGCAGCCCAGCGCGGGTCGAAATTGCGGAAATTGCTCTTCGCGTCTTCTGACCGCCACGCAGGGTGTATGTCGAAAGGCGCGCGTTTCTGCACGCGTCATTGTTAGAAAGGATTTGTACTCTACAAAAGCGAGGTTTCCAAACTTCTAAAGTTTTGTTATTATATCTTGTAACAGAGGATTACTAGTTGTATCCCGGAAGTACTAAACCAATTTCGAGCTTTTTTTCCTGGTTCTCCTGATTAGTGACAATCGATCAATACGCGCCATTCGATCGTCTCCCTCAAAACCGTCTGGGTAACCACGTTGATTGTATGTATGTACATATCTATGGGAACATTTCTGGGGACAAACCATATGATTAGGTACAACATAGGCTGTAAAACTTCAAAGCAGATCTGCGTTTGAAGTCCAACTTTTCTGTGAGGCGCTTTTCGACGAAAATCCTATTGTCTTTTCGTGAGTGACTTCAATCCAAAATCGAAGTAATTAAGTAAGTATAATAAATACAAGATAACTTTTCGAAGCAGCGCAAAAAAAACCGAGGATGAGAAAACCTCAAATTTGAGCGTCTTCTCGATAGTTGCTCGCCCACAGCTCCTTATCCTTTGCTTGAATGAGAGTCATTCTTTCAGTGTGTGCCTTCCAGTATGAGTAGGAGTAAAAAAAGACTTCCTCGTCCTAAACTCCTTTCTGAGTTTTTTGACAAGCACAGACGAGTCTCCGGCGCTAAAATTATCGGAGCCAAGAAGAAATATGCATATTGATTGCGCTATGTACAAACGCGTTGAGCGCTAGGAGTTCGATAGTGGGCGGCACGCGAGTCGAGGGGCGTTCGCACGCCGCTCGCAGGCTGCAAAGATGATTCGTCTCCGATGAAGCATTTTCATGTGAGTTTTGGAATTTTTGTTAGCTCACAATTGATTTAAATTCTTACGATAGATCTTTGAGGTTAGTGACTTGATTGTGGAGAATGAAGTGAGATTCCAAGCTCTGTAATTCGCTTATAAGCCTTGAGGCTAGAACTGTTAGTACCATTTATTATCTGACTAAGAGACACGAGCTATTTGCGTACGTTTTATAAGTTCATGAGTGGGTTCTAAAACCTTCTGGTAAATTACTATCAGGAATTCGTGAAGAACATGTTCAAACACTCGTTGTTTAAACGAGTGTTTGAACATGTTCTTCACGAATTTAAATTTCACGTTGTTTAAACGAGCTCAAACATGTACTTTCACAATTCTCGATACTAAATCATCCAGCACGTTAGAACGCACTTATGATCAACTTGTTGATCAGACGTGCGTAAAACGTGCTCGTTTCTCTTAGTCAAAGAATGAAGTCACTCTGCATTGAGTACAAAGTCAACGCCGTATTGGAAGGAGAATGAGATGAGCACAAAGAGAAACTTCAGTGGGAAATATGCTGTAACTCGATATTATCTGAGTTTCGGTGGGAACTGCAGAAAGTATTCATTTGAGTTGCAATTTTGAGATTATTCCGCCTTTTAAAGGCAGTGTCCGGGCAAAAACTCGATTTTGAGATTTTGTGCTTACCTGGGCCTATTCGCCATGCCGACTTCGAAAATCCACATTGGAAAGCGCGAAAACGGCAAAAAAGGGCTTTAACACAGGAGGGAAATCAGAAGTGGGCGGGGTTTTCCCCACTGTGAATTTTGCGGTCCCATCTTCTGAAGCGATTTTCTCAATTCCGCTAACGACCTGAGATCTCCACGGGCCAGGTGCAAATGCATGACTTGAAATCGGGACCGAGAAGATCGCTCCGGAAGTTTGGAGCGTGAATCCGCAGTGGGGAAGACCCCGCCCACTTGCTGTTTTTCTCTTGCATTAGAACCCTTATTTGCCGTTTCCGCGCTTTCCAATGTGGATTTTCGAATTCAGCATGGCGAATAGACCCGGGTAAGCACAAAATCGCAAAATCGAGTTTTTGTCCGGACACTGCCCCATACAGAGCTTATCGACTGCAGTGTCGCACCATCATCTCCACTCCCCTATGGCCGCTTCGCCTAGACTCTGTTCTTTCGCGAACATGCCCTCTAATCACTTTCCCACCGCGACATGAAAAAAAGGGGGGAGGGGGCTCATCGATTGGACATGATTAGAGAACATGTTCGTGGAAGACAGAGTTCCGCGCGGGGGTGGAGATGCTGGTGACACCCGACACTGCAACTGATAAATCCTGTATATTGATTGGACGACCTGAACTAGTTAGACAGAAATGTCTCAACGTGCAAAGGAAGTTTCTAGGAAATTCCCTGCATAGATCGTTTGTATTCATTCTCAAATAGTCGGGCAGTAAACGATTTAAAAACTATTGCATGACGAAGGCACATTAGCAGTGTTAGTTGAGCGGGCGCGAACGCGGTGCGCGCATGTCCTCACCGTTGTAAATTCTGCGCTCCTGCGCTCTGCGGCTAATAAAGCCGCGTTCGCGCGCAAAGGTACTGCGCCTTCGTCATGCAGCAGCCTATACTTGCGGATAATACTTGCCTAAATTTTTTTGAATAAATGGGACATAAGGAAATATAGGATATATCGCATATCTGGAGCACTCTGAGAAATTCCTTAAGAGCATACGGTTGAGTTGTATTCAATCCTATGCGGCAGACACCATGCATAGGGTCGTATCATCCTGTAGGGATCGGCCATACTATTCCCGCTATTCCTACGACTCCTGCGATTCCTGTGAGTCCCGCACAGATTAGACGCCGCTTAAATGAGCGCGGATTGCGTAAAACAACACGTAACACGCAACACGCGCTCGTTTAAGCGGCGTATAAACTGTGCGGGACTCACAGGAATCGCAAGAGTCGTAGGAATAGCAGGAATAGTATGGCCGATCCCGTACTTATCTATATATATATACTAGCCGGCGGTCCCGGTTTCACTCGGGACTCCAGTTTAGCTAAGGAGAAGTTCTTATACTTACGCTTTTGAGCTTCTTCTGCGCAAAAAGGGCATTGAAACGAATTGCCCGCATCTTTCCGACATTGAGATTAAAACGAGCCTTACCATCCCCTGACTACATGGTCGGCAAAATGATTGGTTTGAGCATGTCAAGCCTCATTTTCCCACATGTAAGTAAACAAATCAACAAATCAATAGAAGGATCTAGTAAATCGCAGCGAAAACTAGCCTATGTTCCGGGGTCCAAAACATAAGTGTGCAAAATTTCAGCTCATTTAGTCCACTCAGAAAGATTTGTTTAGAAAACATACTTATTAACAGACAAACACACTTTGAGTTTTATATATATAGAGATAAAACTCAAAATTGTGAGTTTGGAGGCTATGTGCGTTATAGAAACGCGCGCGGCTCAACGATACACTGAAACTTTGCATACATATGTTTTCGACCCTTGCGCAGATGATAGGCTATTTTTTGCGGCAATTCCTTGGGTCCTTCTATCGATTTATTGATTTATTTACGTTTTTCTAAAGAATTGAAGGATTATCATGTTTAATCAAGCATCCCATCATCATGTGAAGAAGGGCGGTGAAGTTCATTTTACCTCGAGATTACGAGGATGCGGTTTGGAAGCGGATGTCCCAGGGATAAGTCATTCATAACATATAAGAGGGGGGAGGCTCGCAGTGCAGGTGAACAATGGCCCGGGCTGGACCGGAAAAGCTAACTAGTAGATTATAATATTTAACACTCCAATTTCGTCCTGCGATTTTTTATCTCAGTGAAGCTGTCGCCAACTTGAGCGTCTAAGCGCGGTGCTCGTTTGGAGCCTGCTCTGCGTCTGCGGACGTGTCCTCTGGCCGTTTTCCAGCGCCGCTCAGGCGTCAGACTGTCCAGAGGATACGTCAGAAACGCGCCGCAGGTCCCGAGCGAGGGTTCCGTACGGGTCCGACAGTGTCAAACAGTGGTGCTAGCTTGACCAAGTTAATGACCACAATAAAAGCGTAAGTAAGTGTCGACCACTAGCTCCCTTTTCCGTAGCAACTACGCATCTGCAGCGCGTGGGCATTGTGCAGCGTTCTTCGATCGATACGGTTAATTTGAACTTCAAACGGCGCGCCCGCGTACGCGGCACAGGGCCCTAGCGTTGCACTTGAGCTGATCGGAAAGGGTGCACATCGTCGACATGGACTGTACATCGCAGCTGTAGAACGATCCATACGAAAACATTATGTATTATTGATTTCTAATCTAGTTCGCTATCTCGCATTTGAGTCCTTGCATTGACCCACAATAAGAAAGGTTTTTCAGAAACTCATACACGACGATGGTTCAGAAATATACGTGCATTATATGCGGGAACAAAAATGACGGAACCCTTGCATCGCGCACGTCAAAAAATCAGGTGCACAATGCAATCTTCCTATCAGCTCTGCGGATTTTCACATCGGTAACGCCGGAAGTCGCGGCAGTGTACCAGTCGTATTTCAACAAGACGCAGAAGTTTATCTGCGTCAGTCACTTTTTATATACTGTAAGTTTTATCTAATTACACATAATAGAAAGTATATTCGACATTACAGGCACAAAATCTCTTGGCTCGAACGGTCATGAGTGGTGGAAAAGTGTCGAAGACAGCAGAAAACGTGGCATATCTAAACGATGGAGATATTCCAGACCACCTCATAGACATCATAAACAATGAGATACAGTCATTCGCGGTTAGTACCATCAAAAACTGTGCAAGATGAGGATTCCCTTTATTTATGTATATCAGGGTAACACTGCCGTGTGTAGGTCCGATGTATCTCGTTACATAAATTACTACATGAAAAAGTATGCGGATACCATTGACTGGGATGTTTTCCAAGAAGTTAGCTACGAAGAGTCTAAGGAAGACCCTGTTCAGTTCACGGTGAGTACAGTTAATTTCTCGCTAAGAGATTATGTAGTAGAAATTTTTCAAATCTCAAAACGCCTGTTTCATGTTGTATCAGGTTGTCCCATAAGTCTCTTTTCATTTTTGAGTTTTCGATGTGATAAGTCGTACAGTTCCTATTTTAGGTAGACATCATGATACCATTCGATAGAGCAAAGCAAGCTCTATAAGATGACGTTCATGCTTTTGCAACAGCGTCGATCCACATCAGGTTTGAAACCAAAATCTAAAGAGTTTCGGATGCCCAGAAAATTAAAATTTTTTATATCTTCGTTCAGAAAAGTCCTACAGATCTCTCCCTCGCTCAGGCGTATACACTCCACATCAAACACTCATATGTGCTATGCCGTATTTTTTTATCAGCTAGAAATATTTCTTGTTCACCAAAGTGATACTATGCTGTTCTTACACTAACAGTTGAATACTACAAGCCCTTAGAAGTGCAACCGTAAATCTTTAACTCTCTATAAGCTTTGGTTTCCGAAAAATGGTGAGTTAAGCATAAAAAACCCGATGAGGAAAGCTAAATTCGATATTTCATGGGAACTATAGCTTATAGAGAGCAAAAATTTACGAGTGCACTTCTAAGGGCTCGTACTATACAACTGTTAGTGTAAGAACAGCACAGCACCACTTTGGTAAGAACATAGAAATTTCCGTCCTCTTGATTTTTAGCCAATAAAAAAAAATACAGCAACAGCACATACGAGTGTCTGATGTGGAGTGTGTATATGCGTGAGCGAGTGAGAGGCCTGTAGGGCTTTTCTGAACGAATATATAAAGAAATTTTGATTTTCAGGGCATTCAAAACTCTTCAAGTTTTGATTTAGAACTTGAGGTGGATCAAGGGTGCAAAAGCATAAACGCCATCTTATAGAGCTTGCTTTTCCGAATGGTTTCTTAAAGTTTATTTAGTATAAGAAGTGTATGAATTATTACAGCGAAAACTCAAAAATGAAAAGACTTATGGGACAATCTAATAATTTGTAAACTCTTCAGGGATTCGAAGAATTAGAGTCCGCTTCTGAAGCTCCCATTCCATTGGCTCACACTTATCAGGGGCCATTGAAGGTCAAGCTCAAAGTCTTGGGATGCTCTAGCAAGCCAGTGGTCAGTGTCTCATATTGCAAAGCATTCATTTAGAGCTTTTCTAAAAGATCACTGATTTTAGGATGATTCTTATCCTTTGGTGAACTCGCGGGTTGACGAAGAATCGGAGCATTCAGAAGCTACAGAGACTCAACTCTATTGAGTTTGTAAACATATTATACTTTGAATATGTATATGCTGTGGTAAGATTGCCCAGCGTATTGTAACTGTAATCAAGTCATATTAGAAGTCCATGTTTCTGTTCTTTGTTGGGGAAGATTCTCTGATTTCTTCATCAAGTTTACAAAGATATTGGATTGTATATATGTATGTACATTGTTAAGATTTTCTGTTGGAAATAAGGTCTTTTATATGAATTTTATACTAGCGCTAATATGTATGCAGACGGCTGTTTAGCGCATGTTTGATAACTTGGAAGTAATCGACTTATTCAAGAAAACACAACGTGCTGCCCGGCGTGGGCCGAATTTGCGGAAGAGCTCTTCCCTGGTGAAACGTCTTCTTATCGCCAAGACATCACGGATAGATTTTGAAGCAAGAGCTTATGAAGCTTATGGACGTGCTAGCCAGAAGCCGCGTCCACCTGAACCGCTGTCGGATGTATAGTGGGAATTGTGGCCCCACAGGTCGCAAGCATCATCTCGCAGAGTTTCTCAGTGGAGAAGGATCCTCTTCTATTCGAAGTTGTTTCCAGAAACATGATCCATGGCCATGCGAATCTTTCCCCAGTTGCTCAATTTGGAGTAGTGTAATGTGAACTCGATTAAGTGCGTCTGCAAATATGTGAACAAAGGAGGTGACATGGCAACTTTCGGTCTCAAGAATGTTAATACAGTCTGCCCCAATCCCAACCAGGCCAAAATTGGCATGGCGGGAACCCGTATCGCGAGGGTATTGCGTCACATCTACGGCTAGCCAATCTGCTCTCTTCTCAATTTCTTCGCTCTCTGCGACAGCGCGCGTATGCAGCGCAGACCCCTAGCGTTGCGAGCGTGCAAATTCTGCCAGCGGTTCGGCCTGATCCCGATTGGGGCAGACTGTGCGTTTGATGAGGTCGAGCGTTACCAAGCGGGCAGATACAGTCTGCCCCAATCCCAATCAGGCCAAAATTGGCATGGCGGGAGTCCGCGTTGCGAGGGTTTTGCGTCACGTCTACGGTCTTCTTACCTGCTCTCTCTTTGATCTCTTCACTCTCTCCGACACCGCGCGTATGCAGCGCGAAGTAGTGACGCTGCGTGCGCGCAAATCCAGCCAACGCTTCGGCCTGATACCGATTAGGGCAAACTGTACATAAGCAGCAGCGAGGCAGTCTGGTGCATTCCGGGTCCCAGAATCCACGAACATTATTCACCTGTCACCCATTTATATGCCCTTCTAGAGGATGGACAACGCGTCTACTTTAGAACTGTAACGCGCGACAAAGAGCTGCGCAGCCCTCAAAGAAGTTTGACGTCGTTCTTCCCTCTGTGCAAAAAAGATCCTTTGCACGAATGTTTTTAGTCAACAAAGGTATGGGCCAGAAGAAAGCAAGTTGCTGAAGTCTTCGGATATGACGTAAAAGCAGCGGTTTGTTGGCACGTGTATATACTGTACACCCTAACCGAGCCGAATGCTTCTACCTCAGATTGTTGCTTCACATAATCCGAGGACCGACGTCATTCGCAGCATTGAGGACCATCGATGGAGAAGTCGACCTACAGGCCCCGTAAAATCCAATTGCCCACGCGTCGCTTTGAACACCAACGCGCGAAGCGGCTGAAAACGTTTGGTCCCGAAGCGCAGGGTTTCTGCGAGCGACAACGAGCGCGCACCCTTTTTACATGTATTTTTCTAAGCTTTTGAAGGGAGCTTTTGTCAAGATATACCTTGCATTGACGAGGACAACATGAAATTTGAATGAAGATTTCTTGAAATTAAGTGAACGCCGAGAGTCGTTCGCGACGACCGCTTGCTTACGCTGGTGTTCAAGGCACGGCGCGGGCAATTAGCTTTTACGGCGCCTATACAGTGAAGCATGCCGAAGACTTGGCATGCTTGGAGATGGTCAGCACTAAAACAGTGCTCTCGCAGAAGCATCCAATTTTCGCAGCTCAGTTGCGAAGTCTCTTCGCTATCATCTTAACGACCTGCACACCGTCAATCCCCCAAGCACTCTGGGAAAAGTACAAGGAGACTCTGTGGGAAGACGTACTCAGAGCGGCACCCTCTACAGACATCGATTACTCTTCCGAGATATTCAACTGAGGGTTGATATTGCTTGATGACAAGTGTGCGTCGATAAGCGGTAGAACCTGAGAGAACTTATTTTGCCGTCGCCAATACGCGGAGATGACCATACAATCAGGAGCGACGTTCTCCGAAAAAGGTCATATGATGTTGATTACCTGTCGACATTTGTATCATTCATTTTCTGACTAGGAGACGCGAGTACGTTTAGTATACGTTTGATTAACAAGTTCTTGTGTGCGATTGAACGTTAACTTACCGTTAGGAAGTTGTAAAGAAACATGTTCGAAATTGCGTTGCTTGAATCGGACATGTTCTTTCAAAAAATAATAGTGAATCAATCAAAACGCGTTAAAACTCATGAACTTGTTAATCAAATGTACGCAAAGCGTAGGGTCTCTTAGTGGAGAGTGAATGATAGACTCTAACATAGCTCTCTTCACGGAGGATCAAAATTAGCTCATCGTGCTATTATGGACACGATTTCCAGTGGAAAGGGTTGGCTACAATGCTACAGGTGACAGGTAAAACGTTCCCCAACTAATTCCTACTTGCCGAGATCTACAGAGGAGGGGTCAGATTAGCAGTGTCCCTTCAGAGAATGCCTCAACACTACTAGAAGGACCGAAGCTCATCCAGCCTTCAAGTTTCCACTGGATATAGCTCATTCAGACCGCCTTATTGCGGGATAAACAAAGGCACAGGGAAAGCTTATGTTTACAAGATCAAACTCATAGTTTGGAACGAATGCACCACGGCACATAAGAAATGTTCAAAAGCCCTTGCCTCACACTACAGGAAGGGAGAGGAACGGCTTAATGAGAGGGGCGTCGTGCTACTGAGCGACTTGCCAAATCCGCGGTCGATTCCAGCTTATGAGCTGAATGTCTGCCTCAAGGCTTACCCTCTCTGGACGCATGTTAACGCTGAATCTCGCGACGAACATGCGAGTAGACCTCATTGACTAGTGACTGCCAGAAGCTTTGCGCAACAGCTGTTGCTCTATGGTAAAAGTAGGCATTGAATGAACCCATTTCTGGCATAATTACTCCGCTAGAATACTGCAACATGGTTTCGGTCAATGAATGATCGGAAGTTTTTCTCCAGAAATGTCAGAGACTCCAGCGATAGAGAGTGGTGTCTACGCGAGCAATTCTGACACTAAAAATAATGAATTTTATCAATGCTCAGAAAAGACCTAAACAAGTATCAACGTAAATATCTGTTGATACTGGTCGGCATGAATAGGTTGTGTATATTTCCATTGAGTATATTTCCACTGCCAAGGGAAGCCATTTTAGTCGACTTACCCTTTCCAAATAAGCCTTAAATCATCTTGGAAAGCATTCAACGCTGTTTCCAAATCTTTCAATTGCCAAGCCTTCCTGGACATCGAGTTATGAGTGCGTTTGGGAGCGAAAAATGAACAGATTTTATGTAAATACAATGTTTATCTTCTCTGCATTCAGACAAAGCAGTGTTGAGTATGAAGGGGTTAGGCAGAAGGTACTATTTAAAAGAGGCGCTCTGATAACTAATACCTGACCATCTGAGCACTAGACGATTTTGTTCCGTTATTCAGTCAATCCGAACGTAAAAATTGCTCATGAGTAGGGTCGAACAGGAGCTGTGGCACACAACCGTCGGAGACGACCCCCCACCCCCCGGTATTACTGTTTGACTACCGTAGGCCAGGAATGTCTAATAAGCATAGCTGTAACATGTTCGTAATTATCATCATAACTTATAATAACGGGCTAAGGGTTGTTTACGCGCGCGTGTGTGTGTGTGTGTGTGTGTGTGTGTGTGTGTGTGTGTGTGTGTGTGTGTGTGTGTGTGTGTGTGTGTGTGTGTGTGTGTGTGTGTGTGTGTGTGTGTGTGTGTGTGTGTGTGTGTGTGTGTGTGTGTGTGTGTGTGTGTGTGTGTGTGTGTGTGTGTGTGTGTGTGTGTGTGTGTGTGTGTGTGTGTGTGTGTGTGTGTGTGTGTGTGTGTGTGTGTGTGTGTGTGTGTGTGTGTGTGTGTGTGTGTGTGTGTGTGTGTGTGTGTGTGTGTGTGTGTGTGTGTGTGTGTGTGTGTGTGTGTGTGTGTGTGTGTGTGTGTGTGTGTGTGTGTGTGTGTGTGTGTGTGTGTGTGTGTGTGTGTGTGTGTGTGTGTGTGTGTGTGTGTGTGTGTGTGTGTGTGTGTGTGTGTGTGTGTGTGTGTGTGTGTGTGTGTGTGTGTGTGTGTGTGTGTGTGTGTGTGTGTGTGTGTGTGTGTGTGTGTGTGTGTGTGTGTGTGTGTGTGTGTGTGTGTGTGTGTGTGTGTGTGTGTGTGTGTGTGTGTGTGTGTGTGTGTGTGTGTGTGTGTGTGTGTGTGTGTGTGTGTGTGTGTGTGTGTGTGTGTGTGTGTGTGTGTGTGTGTGTGTGTGTGTGTGTGTGTGTGTGTGTGTGTGTGTGTGTGTGTGTGTGTGTGTGTGTGTGTGTGTGTGTGTGTGTGTGTGTGTGTGTGTGTGTGTGTGTGTGTGTGTGTGTGTGTGTGTGTGTGTGTGTGTGTGTGTGTGTGTGTGTGTGTGTGTGTGTGTGTGTGTGTGTGTGTGTGTGTGTGTGTGTGTGTGTGTGTGTGTGTGTGTGTGTGTGTGTGTGTGTGTGTGTGTGTGTGTGTGTGTGTGTGTGTGTGTGTGTGTGTGTGTGTGTGTGTGTGTGTGTGTGTGTGTGTGTGTGTGTGTGTGTGTGTGTGTGTGTGTGTGTGTGTGTGTGTGTGTGTGTGTGTGTGTGTGTGTGTGTGTGTCTGTCCGTTACGAAATTCGTAGAGCGAATTCCAGCCAACCTCTTGAGCCCAAATTTTGCACGGTGCATGCTAGCAGCATGAAAGTCCGCTATGCAAAAGCACGAGCGGATCCGTTGACTGGATCCCTCAAAAACTGCGCTGCAAACGGATCCACTTGGCTTCTGAACAGCAAAATTGGGCCTGTACCACCACTTTTTGCAAAGTCATGGATATGATTAACAAGCTAATGTGCAAGCCATGGACTTTAGCCCAAAAAATTGAACTAAAGTTGATTACTTTACAAAAATGGCGCCGAGAAAAATCAGTTGCGTAAATGTTCAATTTGCCAAGATTTTACCTAATCATTTGGGAAGATTTTTGCACAGAGATGTAGCCCACGGTGATCATCGTCATTATAGCGACTATTAAACCATAAAAAGTCCAAAAATCGGTTCAAATTTGCATTTATCGTTCTCGGAAAAGTTTCATCCACGCGAAAATACCGATCTCACTCAAAAAAGCTCTCGGAATGAGTAGCTGTTTACAATTCATTCGTGATAGCCTGCATAGCGCGGTAAGTTTTAATGTCACTATTATGCCGGAATGAGCAAGGCATATAGAAAGTAGGGCCAGTGCGAGCCTCTGCGAAGCAGAGGTGACGCACTGGTGTTAAATAATCGGTGTGGATTGTTTCAGCAAACTTTGAGGTTCTCAATATGCACACCAAGTGAAGTGGTCATTTTCAAACATGGTTGACTAAATCACAAGAATGAAATATCTACCTCTTTTTGTACTCAGTACAAAGCCCTGTTCCCTAACCGCCCATACTATGAATCCTGCTTCAAATAACTATCAAACTATGTAATTAAGATTCAGCCAAAATCTCATTTGTCCCACTTTTAGCTTACAGTGGTTGTGCGTCCAGCAACTTTTGCGCGAAAGAAAGAAGACGAATTCGGCTTTACTCACTTCCCAAAAGTACGAGATTTTGCCTATCGCACTGTTTAAGATTGTTGGCTAAAGTTCTCTTTGAAGGTAAGTTAACGGAAATGCACGACCCCAAAAAGCTGTGGCTGACACACCTTTTTGGGAGTTGTGCAGCCATGAACTTGTAAGCGTAACTATTAATTGATTATTAATGTCTAAAGAACGTGTTTGCCATTTGCTCACAGTCGTATAACGAATTTTATTCATGCAATCGAAATATGTCAAACAACCATTGTTCAGATGTAATGGAAAAAATACACCAAAAGCGAGTGAGCTAACATACTCGTACATACTAACGACTACAATAAGCGAGAAAGACAACTAACATCGGATACTAAACTACGATTTGAAATCTAGGATAGAGACCAATATACTAATGCTATATACCACGCAATCATACTTCACTGAAATACCCTGTAGAATCGTAATGCTCAAAATTTGGGCAAACAAAATCTGAAAGTTCTTAGGTGTAAGAACTGGCATGTGGGGAAAAAGAGAAAGGAATGGTGAGAGATTTCAATGGTTTAAAGTGCTTTGGCATGAAAAGGGTGCTTTCGCTCAAAGGGTAGCGATTAAAAGCGTTGCGGGTCAACGAAAGTCAGCTGGTACTTTTGAGAGTGCTATAAAAGCAGTGCATGGCAGGACAAAACATTTTCAATCTAATTCACAAACTTAGAGAATTTCATAAACTAGAAAGCGCAGGAGAAACTGAAAGATGTCAAAATCTTACGATGAGAAGAAATAGTAAGCAATCGATAAAATCGATAACAATAAATAGTACAAAACCAAAGTGGTACGCTATAGCTAAGCACATTTGAGTAAGCGAAGTAGATCAGGCGCACTGGAGTGTTTTTTAGAACCTGAGAATTTTTTTTTCGAATCGTTCGCAAGCAAAAACTTATGTATGCTTCTTCGCATGGAATGGGGAAGACTCGGGTAGTGCTTCCGGTTTTATCGGACGAAAACCTTCCATTTTTAGGACACCAAGGGCTCGCTGCAATTGATATGTTCCGAACTGTGCTTTCATAGGCAACGTCCACACTTTACTCGAACCACGCCATTCGCCTCCCTAAAACATAATTCTGCAGACAGTAAGCAAACAGAGCCGGGGACCAGTTCACGCTTACGAGGACCACGCCTATGATAAAGACAACTCTCAAATTTACCTTCATGTTGGTCAGGTTCTCTAGTCGAATTGCTTCAATTAGCGCAGCTTCTCGAACAAATGCTTCTTCGTCAGAAACGCTGTGATTAATTTGAAGGCACAGAACACCATGGCCACTTCCCCAAATCGAATCTATCCGTTTGAGCTTTGCGTTGGTTGCCTTAAAACTTGGTTCCAAAATTCTGTTCAGTCCTAAAATTCGTAAAAGCATACCATTTTGGCGGACTTCGCCTCTCTTTCCCTTTTGGCCTCGATGAGATGCGCTAGAGGACGAGCCTAAACAGAAATTCGTAAGGTTGGTAAACCAAAATGAGTAAATGAAGTCTTTAGAGATGAGAGTGGAGCAAAAGCCTAAGCCGTATTTAGCTAACACAATGAGCTAAGCAACAGTGCCAGTCGGTTTTTTCGAGGGAAGGGGGGGGGGCAGGACTTTTTGAATAAAGTAACGTTAGTCGCGCACTAACAAAAATATTCTAAAGCGGTCTTCCATATTCTTGCTAGTGTTTACAACTCATGCTTACATGATCCTTAAAAATTGACCATCTTCGGGGGAAGGGGTCGCCGAACCTGTAAAACAGAATACCTACCTTTGTTCCTTTACCAACATAGAAGATAGCCGGCACGAAAGTCTTCAATTCCAGCGAATCCACATCTCCAGAGATTTTCCTAGGATCCAACAGAAGATAGCAAAACGCCGTGACACCCGCCGACTGGTACTCTTCTCGTACCTAAATAGGTAAGTCTAATACATTCCAAATTCGCAAATAACCAGTAGCACTTACCCTATCGTCAAGTTTCTTTCCTTCATCCGGGGATGACTCGCCAAGCATGGCTAGTTCCAGCTGTCGTGAGTAGCGTACACCTTTGATATCAGCGGTTTCACGTCGCATTAGCAGCAGCTTCTTTTCATATAGACCGCGAGTCCTTAATGGAATAATTTTTGGCAAGAAAATACCTAATAAAAAGTCGGAAATATGCCAATCCTACGGAAGGAAAATTGGTAGGGCCCCTTTTTGAAAAAGAAGTCTCAGAAGGTATGGTCTGAGCATGACTCGACCAGCGTACTGTTCAAAAACGTAGAAAATGAACCCTACTGGTTATTCTTTCTCATAGATGTGGTTATTATGAAACTTAAAAAAAATCCAAGCTCACCTCGGACATATCGGCCCAGCAACGACACCAACTTTCTTCAGCTCAGCTTTGAGCTGAGTATCAGTTAATCGACGAATCTTCCTCAACTGACCATCATCGACATTTGGTGGCAGTGTTGGTTCACCTATCTTCATCTGAAAATATATGAAATTATCTACTGAATATGGAATAACGAAAAGGTTGCAACAATACGACCACCTGCTCTATCCGCCTTTGCAGCTCAGCCATGTCGAAGCTTTCGTCTGCAGTGAAATAGTCAGTTCCTTGTGTATCTAAAAAATCATATATTTTGAAAAATCATGCGAGAGGAAAAAGAAGAAAAAACTTTAGAATATTCTGGAGGCCAACCTTGAGTGGTATTCTTCTCACTTAACCAGTAAGATAGATCTTCTGGTGGTAACTCTTCGATGGGTGGAGCGGAAGGCTCGCTTCGCTTTGGTTTTGGCGTTGACGGTCCGGTTGCTGCTCTGAAATACATTTGAATGAATCGCAATCACTGATAATTAACGTAGATCTTCTTCAGCGGAAAAATCAGTTTTAATGCATGAGTGAGTTTTTTTATGAATAAAAAACCAAAAGATATTAGAATCCCCTACAACTCCGATGAAAATTGCTGCAATTTTTGTCAGATTTAAAGGACTGAAAAGTTCTGATTATTGCATACGATGGAATAGAAAACTATACACTCACTTTGGCTTAGCACTAGCATGATTTTCTCGCTTTCCATGACCGTTCGTTGGAACTTCGCCTTTCTCGTTTTCCTTCTCTTCTGCGACTGCAATGGCGATAGCTTTCTTATTCGATCTAGCTGGTGTACTGTTAGAACGATTCGTTCTTGGTGGTGGCATAGGTTCAGGCAGAACGGGAGTCTTCGAACATGAAGGTACGTCTGCAGAGTTTGTCCTCACTAAAAAAAAGGAGCTAAGTTACTCCATATTCGGTACTGGGCACTTACCTGGCGCCCTTGGTGTCCTAGAGTAAGATGGCTGCGGTATTTGGCTTGTGGAAGGATAGATAGGGTAAGGTGGTGAGGAAGCTATCGTAGGCGGTATTTCCATCATCGGCGGAGCTTTACCCGTCGGTGTTTCAGGTTGAAGAGATATAGGGGTGCTCGTCACTGGCTCCGATGCGGGTAGAGTTATCTGGAAACAAAAATTCACAACTTTATAAAAAAAACAAAAAAGAAATCTTACCGCTAAGGGTCTTCTAAATCCAATGAAACTCAGAGATTTTCGCATCTTTTTTCGTAATCCTCTGATAAATCGCGTGTGCGCAATTCTGACCATCGTATGGCAAGCAAAAATTCGCCGAATGATACCACGCTGTTCTCGGGTACTTTTCGCGAGTATTCGTTGGAGGAACCTAAAAATCGCAGTACTACTAATTTAAGAGCAAAAACTTCAGACTTTCACATTGTGCACCTTAAAGGCAGCGTCTAAATACCTGAAATTCTTGTTTGAAAACTGTTATGGGAGACTCAGCTGAGCCACTGCCCCAAACCGCAGTCCATATGGTTCATTCGCAGTTGTGATATCTCACTATGAAGTCTCGCCCAGACCGTAGCCTTCTCTAACAATAAGTATACGCGACATCACCACCTACAGAGACTGGACGCCGTTGGGTCTAGGTGAAATAGCGCCTAATCGGAAGGGACAGCAGGCGTTGAAGGGGACGAGGAAGCGTTTAAGTAAAGAGACGTCGACATCATCCCCCCGGTAGAGCTCAATCTCTGCGTCTTACGGTATTGGGCGAGAGTTTAAGGCTGATTTCCTTGGTCAAGAATGGATCATACGAGTTGCCACTTTGGCAATGGCTTAGTCAAGGCTCCTAAAAAGGAATATAGAACTAAATCCCCCGTTCACCGTACCTTTAAACACGATATTTTTCAAACAAAATTCAAAAAAAGGCTTTTTTCTGATAAATACATAAATTTATCAAAGTACACCCAGAATTGATTGGACCCTTTATAGGGAGCATAAAGATTAATTTAAATAGAAGTTATTTCGTTTGGATTATAATTGATGCTTAGTTTTTTTTATTTTCCAGCATATCAGCGCGGTCCTCTAATTTACTAAACATGAACTAACCTTTGCGTATTCCCCGTAGCCATAGTAAAAGGTGTCCTTCCATGGGCATCTTCAGCCTGTGGATCTGCTCCATAGTGCATCAGTAGCTGTGCCATGGCCAAACAGTCATAGGCACAGGCTACATGTAGTGGAGTCAACCCTTCTTCGCCTTTGGCGCAAGCATCGGCACCGTTTGCTGAAAAAATTACAAATCAAATTTTAAAAAAAAACTCAATAAAATCTACGAAAACGTACCCAACAACGTTCGAGCAGCATCTAATGCTGTAGTAGTTGAACTACCTGCGAGTAGGTGAAGGGTATTTGGCTGACGACTGTCAAGCATTGGTGCCTATCATAGGGTATCTGAAGACAGTAATTTTTACGTCAGATATTTGAATTTGAAGGGAACCGAACCGAGCAACGAAAATATAAGATAGAACGGAAGGAACCGAAGAAAAAATGCGAACGGCACAGTAAGCATTAGGAGGCACAAAGCAAGGCAGTATATGGAATAGGCTTTGAGGATTATGAAAGCGGAGAAAGCCTCATTAACTGCCCGAAGAATCTCGAAACAGAATTTTCCAGGAAATCGATGAGAAACTGCCGCCAAAGGGAAAGCAGTTCAGTTATGACAAAAACGCTTGGAAGTTTTGAAATCGCGAATAGAAGAGAGGTTGGCGGAAGTCAAATAAAAAGAGAAACAGACGAGAAAAGAGATGAAAAAGCAGAATGAAAAAGCTTTCATAACTTCAAAATAAGTTTTACATAAAAAAGCAAACTTTACGGAAATGATAAATGAGAAAAGTTTGCATGCTCGTACTCAAAATGACTAAGAGGCAGACTTGGAGACATTTCAGAGCACCAAAAGCAATAAAAACAAAAAAAAACTAACAAAAACCCTTGGCATTCCAATTATTGGAATTGAAACCTCACTCCTTGATGAGTTCCTCTAAAAAGCAGTAGTGAATAAATTAGGTTTGCAAAAGAAAACGGAAATTTTTATTGTAGAAAATTCTAGAAAAGTCTTATTTATTATTCGAATGAAGCATGAACAAGAGGGTGGAGAAAAGTAGGAAACAAAAATTTCTAACAAACTAAAAACTGTTACTCGAATAAAGCCTGAAGGGGAAAGGCAAAAGAAAAATGGTTGGAAATATAATATTCATAATAGATTATAAATGCATCATTCATGACATGATTGAAGAAAAGAAGACAGACAAAACCTAGAACGATGACAAAAAAACCTTGAACAAATAAAAAAAATAAGGCACGGTATTTTCTTGTCACAAATGATCTGTGAAAATATTTGTTAACAGCAATTTTCATCACAAAAAAATCTGATGAGTCAATGAAAATGTAGGGCTGAACAAGATTACTAACACAAAACAAAAACAAAGAACTTGCATTTTCTAATCAAAAAGAAAAGAACAAGCATTAAGAGAGACAATGGTCACAGATGGCCACTTGTCCAAGCATATAATCTCTACACGGACATATTCTTACAAATCGGCTGGATCGAGAAGGTCTCGAAGCGCAGCTGAACATCAACGGGTTCCCTTGAACCGAGCACTTGTACGGAGCAATTGGATCAGGAGAAATGTCAATTTCTCCCAAAGCACAGCCGGCGTAGCTAAATATAGGACTCTTCTAAACTGTGTGAATGATGAATAACCCAAAAATTTTGCTATGTGGCATTTCTCATCCATATATGAGGTATTATGTAAACGCGATTGTTATGCGTGGGACAAATGATCAAAAACGTCGAAACCTTCACGGATTACTAATCGAAACTGTTCATACCTACGTAAAAACTCCTTAGTATTGACAAGCGGAAAGAACGCTGGCTCACAAACCAGACCTGCTTCGTCGCATGCTGTTTCGCATGATTGCTCTGGCTCACCCATTTTTGGCTAAAATAAGGAACAGATACGGTAAAAGATACATGGAATGAGGGATTCAGAAAGGAATGATTTCAGAATGTTATCTGTCCGATATAGCTACAGTATTATTCCATGACAATTTGACCGAAACTCCAAAACTGTAATTTCGCACATCCAAAAAAGTTATCTGGCACCCTGATCACTACCGTATACCATACGGTCCAATAACAAAATTCACCGCTTTGTTCACAGGTATACAGGTATAAGGCAATGGCAAACCGAGGGGCGGGGCGGGGTCTCCCTCCCATCCTTACCTTCCGAGAATGGATCGCGAAATTTTGAAATCTACTTACAGGGGTTACAAAATTATGAAAGTGACTCGTGTATTTTTGTAAATAAAATTTTCATAATTTGAAAAAATAATTTGGCCTTGTAAATTTTGGACACACACATGCTCAAAGGCACGTATTCGTATGGAAAAATAACTTACCACAAAAGCCGATGAAGGAGGCCAGTTAGGAACATCCAAACAAAAATCTCGCGATATGAGTACATGCACTCTGATCAACATTCCTTCTGGGGTGTATTCTTCAGGTAGAACATTCATTGGCTGAAGAACAAGATTTACATTACTTCTAGGTTCCTGTTAAAATTGAAAGGCTAACCTTATTAACAGCTTTTCGAATAGCTTCCTCAAATGCTATAGGATCATCGAAGTTGACTGTGTAGACATATGGCTCACCAATTTGCTCCAGATAAGGTGATTGACTATTTAACTAAAATAGGTCTAGTGTTTTTTTTTTGAGTGAGAGAAATTCAGAATAAATTACCTGTCTCAAAGATGGTTTCTTTGACAAAGCTTCATAATTCAAGCGAGATATAGGAGGGTTGAATTTGGCATTTACAAACACTGCTCCATTTGCCATGGCTTCTAGTGGCATAGGTCCTAAGAATGGAAAAGATGAAATTGCTGACAAAAGATATAATTGTGCAAGGGACTTGCTTATTCGTGAGAGATTTTTTCCAAAAAAATGAGTCATGAGGTGCAAATTTTGCAAAAGCTCAGAGTTACAGGCAGAGCTTCGGCTGACGCGTCCCTTCACTCAAAAAAAATCCTCTGTTATCCCCCACTTTTCTCGCTAAGTTTTTCGGTCGCTGGTATTGCGTAACGTTCTAGAAAAAATTATGAAATTGTCAAAGAGGGTACTGATGGAAAACCCATCCTGTAACATGAAAGGAGAAATTGTGGGAGGAGATTACTGAGTTGACAAAAACATCTACGATAATTCGGTTAAGGGCGCAACATGAAATAACTATGAACGGTACATTATACACAACACTTAAGGTTCAAGTATTCTAGTTTTTGTGAAAACATACTCGAAGGTAGATTGAACTACGAAGAAAGTGGGTTTCAAATATAAAAAATATTACAAGTGTTCCCAGATAACCAAAGTAATTTTTTGTGACCAAGGCATTTTGGACAATTGTACAGTATAAGAAGTATCGTATATTAGCCCACATTCTCGAAAACGAAAATAATTTTTGTTGAGAGGTAATGGACCACAATGGACAATAAGCAATAATTGTACATCAACCTGACTGGCAGCTTCCGATCTCATTCAAAAAAAAGTTGCTTCTGAGAGAGAAAACATAGAAATAATGGTGTTTTGATGACGGTGCAAATCATAATTGTTGTGTTTTCGAGCATGTAGCCGGATGCCAAGTTATGCAAAATATACGTATCCAAAAAAAATTCTCATGTTTTTTTTTCATAATTGGTAAAAAAAGGCCTTGACTCATCAGCAATTTCATGTAATATATTAGGTTGGAAACTAAGTTTTGCAACTAGTCTCATAACTTCCCTCTCACTCAACATGGCGCACTCAAATTTTGCCACTGCGTTGGTTATTAAGTAAGCTACAAGCGCAGCTGCCGTACTACCAAATTCTGACGTCGCAATGAGGGTTACGGTGGGTGCATGGTATGAAGAGGAGAAATTCAAAGTTTGACGGATTTGGCTGAAAATTGGCATAGGGGTGTCATCCGACATGCTGATCACGAAAATGATAGTGAAATTGCGTGATAAGGGCTTTTTTGTAGGATTACTGTAGGTGTACGATATGGGGTCTCACCCTAAACAAGGAAAAAGGCGTTGATTCAACAAACGAATGCGATATTCGCGTTTGGCAGGTCAAATAACCTTACTATGTAAACTCTCGGCGGAATTTGAGCTTCGGACCCTTTAGTCATTGACGGTCGTCCCCAGCAGTTCTTGCGTACGTCGACTCGTTCGACTTTATGAGGACGCCAAATCTCGACATGCCCCTAGATTCTGTTTCTTTCTTACTAAGCCAAAGAATTCAACCTCCAGCAATATTTTATAGACGAATACGGATTACTGCGCATGGTCTAGGCTGTTGAGGGCTTCTTTTTAGCTTGAAACCCCAAAAATTCTCAAATTTTACTAGTTTTTGAAAAACGCCTACAACTTTTCTATTTCGTGTTCAAAGTTTAGACAATTTGTGCTCGCTTGTAGCTCACATTGCCTTCTACATAATGCCGGAGTTTGAGTGCGCCATATCCAAAGAGAGTGAAGTTATGAAACCAGTTGCAAAACTTAGTTTCCAGCCTAATATTATGCGAACGTGAGCAATTATGATAAAAATAAATAAAACTGACCGCAAGAGGACAAAAATGGAAACGATTGAAAGTGATGCAAAAAATGGAATATAAATTTGTCACCTTCTAAATCTAACCCAATTCCCACGATTACATCAACAGCTTTCAGCAAGGAAGTCACGGCACTCGCATTCAGTAAACCATGGTTAATTATATTCAATGGAACTCCTTTGCCTTCTGGGAACTGGGCATATGTGTGCACCTAAGAATTCCACTTAATCGTCCTGCGTCACCCAAAAAAATATTCTCCCACCTCAGTCAAATTTTTCAAAACTTCAAAAACTCCTCGATGTTTCACTTTTCCATATACCAGTGAAATAGGAGGACTATGTGAGCCTCTCTCAAACATTGGCTCTACGACAGATCTATGAACTGCAAATCCAAGAAAATCATTGTCTGGCGTGTGCGGATACAAAGTCCAGTGTTGGAGTAGGTTTAAACCAAAGCCGCCATCAGGGTTCCCTGAAGCGATCAAGATCCAAAAAAGGTTGGTCAAGGGCAACTTGAGAATTTACCTTTTCCTCCCAGTTCATCCTTGTGCTCATCATAGTACTTTAAGTCATTAAATTCTACATGTGTGCCAAAGCTGTCCAGCAACCTTATCCGACACCTAAATATCAATGCTAGGTACCTCTAAATCGACCGAAATAAATTCATATGGTGAAAACTTACTTATTCATACCAGAAATCAAATTTGATTTCCTAAGCCATTTGTAGCCAGGAACATCGGTGATAAGTAAGTCGACATGACTGTCAATAGAAGCGCTGTTAGTTAATTCCAGATAGCTGAAACAAGCGAATAACAATGTTCGGAGCGGTAGTTGAAAATGGCCTTTTCTACTTTGGAGAAAAAATGAAGACCCCCCTCGCCCTCCGAATGCAGAGTTCGGCACAGGTGGCTTATAAGCAAGCTGGATAGCGTTTTTGGGACAAAAGCAATGGTTATATCGTTTTTGTGGGTCCGAAAGTATGTTTCTTATAGTAGATCTTTCGTTTTTTTAGTCGACTCGGATAATTCGAATAATCAAAGGGGACTTCGTAAAATTTTGCGGAAGTCAAAGGTACTTCGTTTTTTACATTTTCGGAAGGCCACCTCGTACCGAACCCTGCCAAGAAGAAAGAAAAGGATGTAATCTTTGAAATGAGGATCTCTATGCAAATGAAAAATGACAAATTACTGGGACAAAAAAAGAAAAGAAAATGAATGACAGCAATGCATTACGTATGAAAAAGTTACTCACTCCATGAAAGTACCCTGATCGGCCGAAATGTATAAATTGTGTCCAAGTAAAAATAAGCAAGCAAAAAGGTCCGTCCATTGCATGAACATGCCCAATCGCTCATTTTCAACACTTCTGGCAGGAGTTTCTTCGGAAAGAAAACCAAGATGAAGCATTATCTAAACTAACCTTTTGATGAGTATATTCGACTTGAAGTATAATAAATAATTACAAAAAAGCAAAAAGGAATGAATGTAAGAAGTACAAAACTCACGTTCATTTTCATCCTTTTTGACATCGTACTTGGATACTTGGAAATCACCAAGTCCAATGCAGATATCCAGCTTGGCCAATTTTCTGTAAGCCGACTCCTAATAAAATCGTAACTCGAAGAACTTCCGCGAAATAAGCCAAACAGTTCAAATAAATCAGTGTCGAACTGAAACCAGTTGAATCAAATAAAAAATCATTTTTGAATAAGTAATCAAGGTATAGATCAGTGACAGATCATGGAAATAAAAGTTCTTAGAATAAGAGGGGGGAGAGCTAAAAACTGACCTCAGCCAATTTAATCATCTGCGTCATTTCTCGATCTTGTTCGATAGAAACAAGAGGGGGACAAATCCTCTCAACAGTTGCTAAATAACGTCGAATCGAGCATGTTGACCTATTTTTGCATGGATAACGAAAGGCTATGTGAACTGGTAAGTATGTCCCCATACTCACCCATCAACTCCATAGTATGCATAAGCAACGCGAGTTCTCCAAATTTTTTGTAGATGTCCTATTTGATCTACGCAGTGCGGATAAGTGGACATATCCAAAGGGAATTGCAGGCAGTATACTGAAGTTGACCAACGATTTCACATATATACAAAAAAATAGAAATTCTAGGGATTTAGTACTTTCTTTTTGCACCACTGGAACTTCAAAGGACTAGGTACGCCGTTCAAAATAAAACAAAAAAAAAACGAAAAAAACGAAAAAGACAAGGAGATGCGCAGGCGCTGTGCAAAATTTCGCAGAAAATCATCTAGTAAAAAAATTCTTTTTTTTTTAATTTTTTTCTTTCAATTCAAAATTTCCGAATTATTGTCTTTTAATTACATCAAAAATTAGAACAAAATTAAATCGTGATTTCCACAAAATCAAGTTTGTCAGGCACAAAGGAAGATGACAGGATTTTTATAATTAATACCAATTACTTTTAGGATTTTCTACCCTTGTGATTTTAGTGATAAAAATCTTAGCGAATCTCTGCACTCACTAGGATCCTCTTGCCATGCGTTCGAGCGATCTCTGACCACATGAACATCAACTTGGAGGTTCAGCAGTATCAATGTTGTGAAGGATAGAAGGAAGCAGACAAGAAAGAGGCGAGGTACGAGCCTCATAGGAGTTGAATGGCTCACTAATAATGTTGATATAGGACCAGCATTGATTAGTAAAGCGCGGCTATAATATTTGGCAGAATTTGATTTGCGTGGCACTTTTTTGCAAAAAATGCATCATGACAGCAGATATAACGTGCATGTACAAAGGAACTTTGAAGCATACGATGCCTACCTAGAGTATACGCAAGCAATTTAATTGCTCGTAAATAATTTCAAAAAGAAATTGAAAGCTTACCTAGTAGTTCTAAAAAATTTCGGAGCGAAGATTTTTCAGAGCTTAAAAGCTTTTTTCTGCACAAGTGGCTCGCGTCACGCCCATCGGCCACGCCCACTCACCCCCGCGAATATTTCTGCAACTACTTCCGCTTTCACTATATAAAGGTGCACAACATGACTCATCGCGCTGCTCCAAGGTGCAAATGTCCGCCGCGCCGCCGTCTTTTGACGTCATCACTACGTACTTGATGACGTCATCATGTCGGAGTAAACAACCTCGAGTTACCGAGTTAGTACACCAAAGGTTAGGAAACCCGTGCTTGATGATGACTCAACCGTACCAAGATAATTTCATTTCACATTTTACGGACCCTCTCCAACGGAGCAACAAAATTTTCATGTTAGGTTTTTTAAACTTTGTTCTTTTATAGTGTTCTGTCTTCGTACAAACTTCCACTCATAACAAAAGTACAGATGAGTTATTTGTATGCCAATATGCCAAGACGCGAGCGCTAAAAACAGCGCATGTGCTGCACTCTCTTTGTGTCTGATGGATGTTTTCGTAATGGTGAAACAAACACGACAGCACTTTTACAGCAATTGATCATCGTAGAAACTCGTAGTCTGTTGGAGAGAGCTTGAAATACTGTAATTTAGGATACTTTGGGTGGTGAATTCACATAAATGGGAAAATGACACTAAAAAAATTCGTAGGGCATTAGGCTGGTGCAGGGCATGAGTCCGTATGTAGGCTTTTCGAAAACGAAGTCTCCTTTGAATTCCGCCAAAACTTACGGTCCCCTTTGACCCCAAACCATATTTGTAAAAAACCCTTAAAAACGGAACGTTGACTAAAAAAGTCTTGTCGTCGTCGCTGTTGGTCTTTTTGGCCACAAAAACGATATCCCCTTTGCTTTTTCGCCCTAAAAACGAAGTCCAGCTCGTTTCCATACGATCTGTGCCGGACCTTGGGCTGATGCATACAAATGATTTATGAACATTGAGATTCGTGGGCCATTCGGCTGAGAAGCCGGAAGCAAAAAATCTCTCAGTACTCTGCTGTACTTGAGGATAAAAAAATGACAAAATTTTGAGAATCTCGAAAAAAAATTGCGTGAAAGCAAGCAAAATCAAAGAAGATTTTGTAAAGCGATAAACAAATTTGTAGCACCATAAAAAATGGAAAGAACTGGGCAATTTGTGAACAAGGTTCAAAAGATGGGGAAATTGGATTTGAATCGAAAACGTGGAAGAAAATTGAGACTTCTAGACAGGAGGGAAAGAAATCGAAGATCGGAAGCGCAACAACATTAGAAACCATGGGTCATTCATGCCTCTAATTCCGTCGCCCCCTCCCGAGGGTCTGGCAAAAATCAAATAATTTTGAGATATTAGGTTGTCAAGAAAATAATGTCCGTTTTTATTTGCTTGCTTTAACAAAGCAACCAGACTCAACTCAACAAAGGGTAAGGGGTACTGTTCGATGGAGCAAAGCAAGCTCTACAAGATGGCACTCATGTTTTTGCGCCAGGCTCGATCCACAGAGAGTTCGAACTCAAAATCTAAAGATTTCCAAATGCCCAAAAAATCGAAAAAAATCAGATCTTCGTCCAAATAATTTCTACGGACCTCCCAGTCGCTCACATCAACACTATCGATATCTGATATCCATATGTGCGATTGCCGTATTTTTTCCTTGACTAGAAACTGAGAAAACGAAAATTTCCCTGATTTTCTCAAAGCAAAGCTGAGCCGTTTTTGCATATGTAATTCTATACCACAAGCCTAGGTAAGCATAACTGTAGGTTTTCTGCCTATTTCGAGCGGTACTTTTCGAGAAATGTCGATTTTAGCACTGAAACTGAAACGAAAAAATCCGAATTCGTTAGTTTTCGAAAACTACCGGTTGGAATGGGCTGAAAATCTACAGTTATACTTACCTAGGCTTGTAGTATAGAACTACATATGCAAAAACGGCTCAGCATTGCTTTGAGAAAATCAGGGAAATTTTCGTTTTCTCAGTTTCTAGTCAAGGAAAAAATACGGAATCGCACATATGGATATCAGATATCGATAGTATTGATGTGAGAGAGTGGGAGGTCCGTAGAAATTATTTGGACGAAGATCTGATTTTTTTCGATTTTTTGGGCATTTGGAAATCTTTAGATTTTGAGTTCGAACTCTCCGTGGATCGAGCATGGCGCAAAGTCATGAGCGCCATTTTGTAGAGCTTGCTTTGCTCTATCGAACAGTATCCCTTACCCTTTGTTGGGTTGAGTCTGGTTGCTTTGTTAAAGCAAGCAAATAAAAACGGACATTATTTTCTTGACAACCTAATAAAAATGATATTTTGAAGCCCAAAGATCATATTGTTAGTTAAGCCTCAGAAAATTTATCCTTGTAAATGCAATTTACCTCGAGTAACAGATGTATAAGTTAGGTACTGAAAGTCTTTACATCTGACCCTTCTTTCAAAGTTCTCAAGTCTCTTTTTTTGGAGAAAATGAAGAAGAGGTTATTTCAAACGTAATTTGAGCGGGAAATTCGTTCTGAGTGCTATCTCATTTCCATCTTTTTTCAAGAATAGATAAGAAGAGACCAAGATTTTTGTGCCAAATATAAAAAAGGGGTATATGTCAAGATGAACGATAGCTGGTACCAGTGGCGCGCGGGGTCATGAACTGGCAATAACGTGTTCGCTCGAAGCTCCGCCCTACTGCGGCGGACGAGTTTCTCGGACGATACCGTCAAGTAAAAATGACTTTTGATAGTGAGATATAAGCTTGAGCCATGATTGTTAGAGTGACCTCACATCATACGACTAGTTCACACGCAATTTCGAATGAGTTACAGATCGATTTATATTAAGGGTAGCAGTTTTTGGAAGCAAAATAAAAGAAATTTGATATTTGAAGCAGATTCGAAAATTTATAAGTGCAGTATGATTTTCCTGAAATCTGAGAAAATTTATGTGGTATGACCGCATATTTGCAAAACGAGTTAGTTTGCTTGAAACAAAATTCGCCTAAAATGCTTGTTTTGAATTCTCGACGCAATGAAATCTGTTTTTAGCTATGATTAGGGTTTTAAAACTTATTTTCCGATAAAAGAGATAATGGTGTTGGCCTTCAGCAATAATAATAGTATTTTTTGATAAGCTGACTTCTTTACGAACTAAACTTGAGAGTGCACAACAAAGCATATTCAATATGGTAACGATGTGAATGGAGTAAAACACTTTTCCAAGCATGTTTTTTTTTCAGAGTTTTCCAATAGCTGCAACTATTGGAAGGCTAACCTATAGGCTAATTAACAAGGGGGCGGAGCGATCAGCGCACCGCGTACGGTACCCAGCTGGCGGCTGGCACATGCTGTCGTTCATCTTGACCGCCACCCATAAAAAAGTTGAGATAACATGTGTCCTGGGGATTAGACTCTTCAGAAATTATCAGTATAAGTCTATTTTCTATGACATGTCGCTCAAACAATCTTCTCCAATAGTTACACTTAGATGAAGCTGCATGGCCCAAGAAAGAGTTTTGATTCGGCTGGGAGGCGGTGCCTCGTGACCTAATTAAGGCTAGGTAATGGTCAGAAAGCATGTGCGCGGAAGAGACGCAGAAGCGTTGCGGGCGCGAGCGGTCTTAATTAGGTCAGAAAGCCCCGCCTTCCAGTCGCCAAGCCAGTTCAACCAAAGGTTGTACTCGCCGAGATATAAATTTTTTTAAGTAACTGATCATTAAACTGCCTGAAGATTTCCAGATATACAAAAATAATTTGAGACGATAGCTCTAGCGCAGGAAAAAAAAGCAAAAAAAAATTTTTTTCGAAAGTATGAGCCAATCACTCAAGTTATCATAAGATTCTGCTAATTTATAACCTCCACCAAAAAAAAATCTCAACACAGCGATTGAATGATATCACATTCAGCTATATGTCACGAAAAAGAAAAACTCTCTTTCTGCTCATGATTGGTACTTTTTTTATGATGAGAATACAACGTACCTGATGTTGTAATCGATCTTCATCTTTTTTTCCAATCTGACATGACCTCTGGCATCATTTTTTACGAAACGGAAAGCAAAGTTCAAACAGAAATAAATAGCGATAGTGTAGAAACTAATGAAAACCCTCAAAAAAATATAAAAGCTAACCAACATTTACTACCAACAAAAATAATTTGAAAAACAACCAAATATAAATCCTGATATGTAATGGAATGGGTGTGCACGCGTGTAACAAAAGACACTTCAAGCCAATATATAGAAAGCAATATGATACCATAACCATTTAATTTATCTACAAGAGGTGAGATGATAGCACAGAACTTAAGTAATCTATGCTAAAGCCATGAGATAGAACTTAGTCAGACTAGAGAATTATCTACGGGGAATTATTGTTAGTAGCTTGGGCATCACAGTATGTTGAGGCATATAAGAACATCAATATACAATGAGAAAGAAAAACCATATGTTAACCGTAAAAGCTTCTGGCACTGCTGATAACATCAATAATAGTCAGTGGAATTGATTAAAAGCAATTGTGATTGACTATAGCGATTTTTTACTTCTTGAAGGGAAAACTGCCATAAAGGGAGTGCTTAAATAAATCCAAATGCAGGAGCTTTTATAATGTGAACTAATCGGGAAGTTCTGACTAAGCTACTGCCCAAGTGGTAGCTCATGCGATCCATTCGTGGCCAAGAAACTCAACTTCTGACTCTCGCCCAGTACCGTAATCTTGACTAATCAGGCGCCACGATTACGGTACTGAGCAAGAATTCAGAAGTGAATCTATGGCAATGAGCCGGCAAGGATGAAATTGTAGGCTCTGATTTAGTACGTACCCACCCAAAATGAACGACAAGGTACTGGGCGAAAGCGAATTAGATCTCCCAGCAACGAACGATTGACTCTGTGACTCATTCGTGGCCAGAAAACTTAACTCTATACTGTCGCACAGTACCGTGATCTTATGGCAGCATCCGAGCAAAAAGTCGATTTTGAGATTTTGTACTTACCCGCGCCTAATCGTTATGCTGAATCCGAAAATCCACGCTGGAGAGCGCAAAAACGGCGAGAAAGGGCTCTAACGCAGGAAAGAAAACGCAAATGGTCGGGGTCTCCCTCACCGTGATTTCCCTCCCAGTTTCCGGAGCGATCTTCTCGGTTCCGATTTCAAGCCAAGCTTTCGCACTTGGCCGCTGGAGATGTCAGGGCGGCTATTGAAATCCGAAGATCGCTCCGGAAGCTGGAAGCGTAAATTCATGGTGGGGAAGACCCAGCCCATCTGCTGATTTCCCTTCTGCATTACAGTCCTTTTTTCGCCGTTTTCGCGCTTTCTAGTGTGGATTTTCGGGTTCAGCATAGCGAATAGGCCCGGATAAGTACAAAGTCTCAATATCCACTTTTTGGCCGGACACTGCTTTTGAGCAATTTCTATGTACTAGGAGCATCCTTGATTACTGTACTGGGTGAGAGTTTCGAGTAAAATTCTCTACCAAATGGATCATAAAAACTGCCGACTGGGCCACGGCTTGCCTAGGACTTCCCAATCGCATTTCCACACATGGAAATACCATGTACCCAAATTTGGCTGGACACAACATTATAAGTGAAGGAGGTACGAAGCGAATTACTGTACATCTATAATATAATTAAAGGGACAGAATTTGTGAAATCTATGTAAAGCAGATTTTAAGTAGGATAGATGAAGTGAATGAGAGATGTGTGTACTAGCTATTGCAAGGAAAGTATTGGAAAAGCTGAGCAAAGAAGAAAAAAAGAAGATTAAATTCCCAAAACGCATAGCGTCAAACTGATATGATTTGATAATCATGAAACACACTGTTTACATAGTGCCATTTGCCCGGGCAGATAATCTCTACATGGGCACAATCGCACTATATGGCTTCCTTGTGGTGGTCGTGAAGCACAACTGAACATAAGTGTGCTGCTTTGTATGGTGCAGTTGTATGGAGCATGTGGTGCTGATGAGTTGTCGATTTTGCTAGTGCTGCAGCCGAAGAAACTAAAGAATTATTGAAAATAATTGAAGTGAAGATTTTGAAGTGCAATCTGTATAAAAGAAAAGAACAAGATAAAGCCATTGCAACAAATGCCATCTTCAATAACAGTTTTTGAGTAAATTACCAATGACAATATGTCACAATGAATACTTTAAAGTCTTCAGTTTTAAGATTTATGGTCATCAGCGATAATCAACATGTCTGAGACTGGGCAATTCTACTTTTGGAAGAATGATCATTATTGAACATGCATAATCTATTCCTCCAAATCCAGGTATTCACAACAATCCAGCGCATTGGAGAACGCAAAAAGATAATGAATGAGGAAGTTTGAAAGAGATAATTAGCTCTCTCAAAGAATACTGCTTACCTATGTAATTTTAAAACAGATTCCAGAAATTACTACTAGTTCAAAAAATTTTTCGAGCTACACCAAAATGCACTAAAGTGGGGGCCTCATTAATCCCGCAGACCCGGCATGGCCATTCCCAAAGGAAAACACAACAAAAAGGCAATTTTGGATATTTGAAATTTGAGCCCCTCAGGGAAGGAAAGCAAAGCAACACAGGATGTGGCTTCAGATTCCGCATCCGAAATGAGCAAGGGAATGAACAAACCTCGTAGGACGACAGTATATATAGAGAGGAGCCGGACCATGCAGCAAGGTTTTTATGTCAGTTTTGAAAGGACTACTTCAAAAATAGTTTGGAAGAGACTTCTCTTCAAAAATCAAATTGAGATCATAAATCACTATGCAAAGACCTTTGAAAAAAAAAGGAGAAGCTGCAAAAAATGAGGGAAATAATGCAGTGCTTAAGTACCGAGCTAAGATTGCGCAATAACTATTCAAAAAAAGCAAACTACCCGCCGAAAGCGCGGAAAGCCGCAGTGAACTCAAACTGAAGAGGTTAAACAAATGAGTCAGTATTTACAAAGTGGGTATGAAGTGGGTGATGAAACAAAAAACGGAAAGTGTTGTTAAACAGAAGGCAAAAACGACCGCTCCTGCGGTATTTTGCCATTGTTTCTTTCAGAACAAATTTAACTTTAAAATTTCACGAATTAGATGCAAATCGAAAAGTGAGGAGAAATCGCTTTCTGGGACGAAACGCAAAAAAATTATTCGGCATATGAGAAAAGACATTTCATCAGAAAAAAGCATAACAGTTCAAGCATTTCCAAATGCTCACCTTTGTAACGCAGCTGCGAAGTTTATGAGCGGGAAAAAAGACGGCTCGCAAATCAGTCCAGCTGATTCGCATGCTTTTTCGCATGATTCTTCTTGAGCGCTCACTTTCGGCTGTAATGATGTGCTCGGTGGCCAGAATGACGTCTTTGAGCATAGATCTCGTGATAACAACATGTTTACTCTGATCAACATCCCTTCCGGCGTAAACTCTTCGGGCAGAAAAGGTCGTGGCTGAAGAACAACAACATAGATAAGGAAAATCAGAAAAAATTAAAAAGAAATATCAATTGTAAATCGTTATCTTTACTTAACTTCATACGTCGCCAACGTAATTTTCGACTATAGAATCTCAGCTGAACTCACTTTTTCCTTTACTGCACTTCTTATCGCTTCTGCTAAAGCTTTTGTATCGTTGACGTCGACTGTGTACACGTAAGGCTTGCCTAATCGTTCAATGTACGGCAACTGGCTGGTAAACTGCAAAAACTTGATAATCACGAGTTCTGAAGTGATGTTGAAAAACTGTAGAGCACTTAGAACCTCTTGGGAACAATTGAGAATGGACTTTTCAAATTGTGCTGAAAGGAACGGGAGAGTAAGTGAAGATTCTGATTTACTACGATTTAAGCAGGTTTTTCTACATTCAAAAAAGATAGCATGTTATCACAACTGCAAATTTTTGCAGTATGACATTTCTCAGATGAGGATCCGCTAAGACTTTTGGAGGCTTAGGCCCTGGCCAGACTTCGCTCAAAAGCGCTCAAAAGCGCTCAAAAGCGCCCAAAAGCGCTCAAAAGCGCCCAAAAGCGCGCAAAAGCGCCCAAACTTCTCTAACCTCTCCTCACTCTTTCTCATCTCTCCTCACACGAGAAAGTGAAGAGACACCAGAGAAATTTGGGCGCTTTTGCGCGCTTTTGAGCGCTTTTGGGCGCTTGTGTGCGAAGTCTGGCCAGGGCCTTATAATGAAAATTGAATGTGCTTGATGCAAGACTAGTGTCAAAGCTAAACGAAAACAACAACTGCCAACTATGAACTCTCGCATGACCAACAAAAAATTCATAACATAGAATCGCTCAAAAATTAGAAGAAAATATATTTCATTGCCCTGAAGGGCACAATATCAATAAAAAAGCTCACGACATAGATATGCAAATCATTGAATTCTTTAGAAACAAAGATTTGAAGTATGTGACCAGTAAGATGCTTGAACAATGTTCACCGCTCACCTCCCTTAACGTTGGCTTATCTCGGAAGAATTCTGTATTCAGTCGAGACTTTGGAGGATCGAATTTCGGATTTATGAATACAGCTCCATTTGCGATCGCTTCTAACGGAGCGGGGCCTGAAACAGGGTGATAGCGAGAAAGTTAAAGAATCAGATATTAGAAAACCAAGATAGGCCGCAAGAAATATGACTGAAACACTTTCGCCAGAGTGATCCACTTACCTTCGAAAGGAAATCCAAGGCCAACAAATATGTCCACCGATCGTAAAAGGGATGTTATGCCAGTAAAATTCAAAAAACCATGATTGATTATATTACTGAACATTGAAGACTCTGTACCATTCACATCAGCAACAGTTGCATGAACCTAAACAATATCAAAAATCAATAAAAAACAGAATTGTGATAGTAAAAACACAAGAATGTAAAAGAACTCTCTAAACGCGATATTCGTAAGAATTACCTCTGTGAGGGATTTGAGCACTTCGATTAGCGTATCCGCTTTATTCCACATGTATTTCTCTTTTCCATACACTAATGAGGTAGGACCACGTGAGCCACGTTTGAATAGAGGTGCAACATCGGAGTCATGGATAGCAAAGCCAAGAAATCCATTGTCAGGAGTGTGTGGAAAGAATGTCCAGTGTTGAAGAAGCTGAAGGCCGTGCCCTCCCCATGGATTTTTTTGCTTTGTTCCTACAGAAAAAGACACTAATCTCACCTAAAAAAACTCAAAAGGCAATGTCCGGGCAAGAAGTTGATTTCAAGGTTTTGTTTTTACCTGGGCCTATTCGCTATGCTGAATTCAAATAATCGCACGAAATAACGCCAAAACGGCGAAAAAGGGGTCTAACGGTGGAGAGAAATCAACAAATGGGCGGGGCCCTCCACTCTGTGAAATCACTCTCCCAGCTTCAGGAGCAATCTTCCCAATTCCGCTAGCCGCCCTGACAACACACCGTGCAAGTGCGAACGCTTGCCTTAGAAACGGAAGCGAAGATCGCTCCTATAGCTGGGAGAGTGATTTCACAGCCTGAAGGCCCCGCCCCTTCTAATTTCCCTCCTTTTTTACAGTCCTTTTCGCCGTTTTCGCGCTCTTCAATTTCAGCATAGAGACAGTCCCAGGAAAAACAAAAGCTCAAAATCGAATTTTGCCCGAACACTACTTTTACAGAAAACTCACCTTTCATAGAAAACTCTAGTTGATGAGCATTGAAATACGATTTATAATTAAATTCAACTTGCGTACCAAAACTGTCAACCAATCGCAGTCGACATCTGCAATTGATAGGAGTAGTTCAATCTATATGGAGAGTCCAAATCTAATCATGAAAGACTCCAAAAAAAGCCTATGACTAAAGCCACTGTTGCATTTGCAATCAACTATTGTTTTGTTCGCAAACTCTACATCCTTTTCTCATCGTTTTTCTCCTGGTTCAACTTAAATATGATAAAAAAGAAGAAAAATTTTAAAAAAGAGAGTTTGAATTAGAAACGACTGTTTACTTCCTGAGCATTGACAGTATGTTAATTATCCAAAAACACGTTCTCCCCGTAGCAAAAAGTTGGCGAGCCCCCTCTCTCCTCATCGCAATTTTTCCGCTATTTTTGGAATAAAGAATCACGACAAATTTCAAAAAAATTGATGCAAAAACCTTGATAAGAACTCACTTATGATGCACTAGAAAATTCCTTCGCTTTTTGAATGAAGTTAGTCCAATAATATCCGTGATAATAAGATCTAATCGCAGCCGGCTGTCCTGTGGAGGACATGGTGTGTCGATGGGAAATCGGTCGACATGTCTGAATAACAATTCAAAATGTTTGCAACAGTTAAGTGAATTAGAGGCATGAATCACTGCAAAGTTCAAAGCAAGTAATCTTGAGAAAGTGCATCGCAATTAAAGCGAGATGGAGCTGCAATTTTCAGCTGCAGAAAAAGTGCACATACTGGTTGGCGCATTAGATTTGCAGTAATGATTCAGCAAACACTTTCATAGTCCATTAAGTTCCATAAAGAAATTTTTGCCACTAACGAACTGCCTCACGCATACATTTCAAATCTAAACATGCCTTGAAAGAGAATCCTCTAAACATGTCTTAGAATCGATAAAAGTTACATGCACTGAATAACTGCTAAGCTGTTAGAAATAGGGGAAGTTGATATTAACATTGCTCTTAGGGATGTCGCGTTCAGCAAAAAATGATTGGCAGCTATCGATTACCCTTGAAACTTACGAAAAAAACGGTGGTGATAGCGAGATATGAGCGACAGCAAAAAAGTGATTTTTTTTGTGCGAGAGTGCTCATAGCAGCAAAAAGCGGTATGCAGGAACTAAGGATGTTTTTAACTAGTGGTGACAGCTGCGCATGTCAGCAAAGTAATATAATACAATGCGACATTAATGAAAGTACACGACTCCCCATAGACAATGAAAGCGGCAACTGTTAAGTACATGAGTCAAAATCGCTAATGATTCACAACTTGTGAATGTGCACTTGTAGATTATCCTGACCTGCGGATAGAGGAATATCGAGATATTTCAGGATACTTGGAATTAATACAGAAAGCATTATGAGCTTCATTCATGCTGATCATGAAGAGATTCAATAGAAGACTAAAGTTGGAGAAACATCAGTTCCTTGGAGAAAAAAAATCTGAAGTTGTGAGCAAAAATGTTGATTCTTCCAAAAAAGCGAGAAACAAAGTGTAGTGTAAAAATGACAGCACATAGGAAAGAAGAAAGAGCATGGTGATTTCAGAGAAATCTACTGAAGCATATCCATTCTGAAAAGACGGGAAGCTGCAACGTAAAAATGTGCAATTATAGATCCAAATTAGAAACAAGAGCATAGAATGTGACAAAAACATGATTCAATGGAAGGAAAAAAAGAAAACAAGGAAAAAAGGGCATGCTTACCTCAACAAGGTTGCACTGTCAGTAGATATATACAGATTATGGCCCAATAGGAACAAACATGCGATGAGGTCAGACCACTGTAGCAGCTCACCGAGAGGGCCTCCACTGCTAGATTTCTCACCAATGTGTATGTTTTTAGCAGTCAGAACCCCCAAGTGGATCAGTATCTGCAATAATGACAATGATGTACGATCATATCGAGTACGAGTACTAGTGAAGCTGTATTAGGCACAATGAAAAGGGATGCACAAACTTTTGCTCACAGACACATGTGTACAAGCAAAATAAACCCAATGACATCTAGATAGATTAGGGAGGGATGTATTTTATAATGAATTGTATATAAGTAATGCTGTACATTTAAGCAATTTCAATAAAAATTGAGAACAACCCGGTTTGGATCAGAACATTTTTGAGTTTTAGAGCAAACCGATCGTCAACAATGAAATTTTTGCAGAAAAAAAGAATACAAGGTGAGATATCTACATATAAGCACTTACATTCATTTTGCTCCTACTCGACATCGAATTGGGATACTTGGCTGACGCTTTTTGCATAGCCTTCTCCCAGCTAGACCAGTATTGTTCGAGGCGATGTTTCATGTAATAGTTTGATGGCATTACAACTTTCAAGAGGTGTTCCAAGTCTGTGTTAGTCTAAATCACCTAATACTGACAAAAAGGAGCGAAAACAACAGCATTATGAAAAAAAAGAAAAGAATATTTGACTGCTTACCTGAGCATAGTGTGGTGTAGTAGTACGGCCTACGTCGATATCCATAGGCGGACAGTGGTTTTCAACAAGTGATAGATAACGTCGAAATGAACATACTGACCTGGATGCACATCAGCTTACATTAGACACAAAATGAAACATTTTCAAATACCCATCAACTCCCAAGGAAGCATAGCATTGATGTGATTTCCAACCATTTCTTATCCACTGCATTTTTTCGAGACAATCAGGATACAGCGTCATGTTCCCAGGAAATTGCATACAATGCAGTGACTGAGTGTCATTCCCTGAAATAGTTCGAAATGCACAAAAATCAAATCATAGTCTACCAAATACGAGTTCATCAAAACGCCATAAAGTTCTAGCGAACCTTTCTGAAACGTTAGACCATTCAAAGGACTATGCAACATGAGAGACTGCTTTCGCGCAATCAAATTCTCGCCAAAAAAACGCTTGAAAGCAAATTACTTCAAAAAGTAAACAGTATGAGCACATAATTTCAGATAAAAGAGGCGAAAAATAAATTGCGCACTTCATCAGATGTGCTACAAAGTTAGTAGGATTCGAAAAGGTAAGAAGATTACTAAAGACTGCAAAATCATACAATTTCATGAAAGTTCTTTTCATACAATAGAATAAAAAAACACAAAAATAACAAAGTACTTACGATTTCCTCCATTTGGAACCAGCTGGTCATGATATAGGGCAAACAGCTGTTCCTGCGTCTGAAAGATTGTTAAGATACTGGAGTAGACATTGTGGGTAGTAACGAAAACCCTTCAATAGTAGTGAACCTTTCGATTAATCAAGGTGGCAAATAAAATATTCTGAATATGTTGAGATAACTGAGTGTTAAATTTTCCGACGTAAAAATTATCTAAAGAGTAAAGAACACATGTCCGAGTTGGAGTCCAGGTTAGGATAATCGTAGGTAATAGTCCGGTAATTCAAATTTGCTGGTTTCAAGTTTTGCTAATTTGCATGAAAAACATTTGCTTGCTCTATCCCCGTACTTGCTAATCCGGATCAAAAAATTGCGGATAACCAAGATCGCAACTAAAACTATCAACTCATACAAAAATTCATACTAAGATCTTTTGACGAGACTGCTTTCAAATAATCTATGCTTTTACCGTTATATACATAACCACAAAAAGATGATCAAGAATGAGCATGTGTCAATACAATCGACCGAAACCAGTTTTGAAGTGCACTTTCTTCTTGACACTGATCTCTTTCAACATATTCCCTATTATCGTTTAAAGACAAGAAAAAACCGTCTCTCAATTCGGTAAAATGGAATTCTTATCTGCGACTATGAAACTCGAGAATTGAAACGTAAAATAAATGCGAGAATGCAACTGGCACACATATCTGCCTTTCCCCAGCACTCAAATTCTTTGAAGATGACTACATTCTTTCTTAGAATGAATCGCATGCTCCCACAACTGATCGACAAAATTCCTCCTATAGTGTCTCCGAGAATTCAAATGCCATCTGTTATTCTTTGGAGGGCACTGCCCCTAGTATTGCATCACAATCCTCAATGTTTGTACAAACCAGCTGTTAGTCTCCGGATATAGATCTGTTTGGATTTCCTGCTTCATTGCTGACCAAAATTTAGTCAACACAAGAAACGTGTATAGAGCGGTGGGGGGTGGGGGCTTTTGGCGATATTCTTCGAAACCCACGCACTGAGGCGATGAAAGAATACCGAAAATGTTTTGTACATCTCCTCGGAACATTGACGTGGTAAAGAGGTTAGATTATTATCTTTCTGTTCAATCAAATAAGACAACTTCAAAGGCCAATGCAGATAAAAATCGAACTCGATAACTGCAAATGTGCTATCGAAACAAAAAGAAAAACCTAGCTTGAGATAACCAAGGAAAAAAACGAAAAATAGCAACTTTGAAATAAAATGTGTATTGCATAAGATTTCGATAATTGGAAACGTTTATAAGAATGAAATAGCTATCCTTTCATTCACCCGTGAACTCAATGACAGATGGATGCAGTGACATGCTGGAGAGCAAAACTCACAGTTTCCTCACGATATTCTGGTTTTTTCAAGATTTGCTCGAGAGCAAGTTTCTGCAAGCAAAACTCTACATCAAAGTTGGGAGATATTGTTATCACCCATTATACCGGAATATGCTGTACACCCTTAGAGCTAAAACAAGAAACAAGCAACAAGTCTTCATTTAGCAAAATCGCTCGAGCAAGGGTTGCTGTTCAGTAGCATTTCTAAATTGTACTTTCGCATCTGATAACTATCCAATACTTTGTCTCGGAGCCCGTGAATGGACAAAAAAGCTGGGACTAGAAACCGGGGATTGCAAATTTGACTGAACACGTAGAACATCAGTAGCAGGGCCTTTCAAGTGAAAATTCATTTACTCAATCTTGCGCATGGGTGTGAACGGCATGATTAGAAACATGTGATCAATTCGCATTATTCGAGCTTCTCTGGTATGGTCGGTACGGTGTGCGAAAAGGGCCAGAACCGTAGATTTGCTGGAAACTTGCTGGAGGAGAAGAGGTTTTTGGTGATCACGAGTATCATTTATCGCTATGATACACCTTGACTTGCGGTCATGGTAAATGTACGTGTAACCTACCGTAAGCACCCATAAATTTGGTAGTGGATTTAGAACCGCTGTGCATGTCAACCTACCCGATGCAATTTTGCAAATCGCAGGATCGACCCCTCACTACTAACCCCCTTACTCCCATAAAAAAATGTTCCTACCAAGCAGAATTACTACCATTTTCGTACTTATGGTCCCTTCCAAATCCGTGCTACTCAACTAAACTGGCATCAATTTTATGATAACATGGGACATCAAGGTATCACCGAATATTTGAGGGCAATAAGAGTAATAGAAGCAATTTGCGCTGAAAACGCAGACACGGGGTAAGCACGATTTCGGGAATGGACACAACTAATTGAGTAACAACTATATGCAAAGTTTTGTCATTTATGATTTGAGAGTTTACATCCAACAAACCTGGATAAGACATGCTCCTCATTTAAGAAAATGCAAACTGCAATTGAGAATTTTTATGATTGATGAGGTAAAGATAAAGTGATTCATAAATATGACATGGAAGTAGAAAAAAGAAAATAGAAATTCAAAACAAAAATGAAAAATCTAAACTAACCACTTCATGTGCAATTTGTCGATAGAGTAGAAACACTGGTATCGTAGCAACAATTGTCAGGAGTAAAAACAACCAGCAAACATTTCTCTTCATTCCCGTAGGCAGTAAAATTCGCGGAGGAGAAGGAACGACCGCACGTCACCAGAACTACCGACACCGACACCAGACACAGCTCATCACACTATGCGAAACATGTTCGCCGAGATTTTTGACTCGTTCATTTATTTTTGAAAAATATTTGTGCATTCGTGCGTCATCACACTTCTGCACCACTCTACACTTCTGTATCGGTACCGTAGCCACAAATTCGTAATCCTACATTAGTCGCAAAAAATCGATAACCTCCCTCATTGATGGCTAATCTGCGTGGGAATTTTCTTTGTCTCTCTGTCCGTGCGTGCATTGCTCAATAGCTTTGTGTGTGTTCTATCGCTATAGTGTCATTGACTCCATCTTATTTGCAGATTCTCGTTGTTACCGAAATGTTTTGCTGAGCAGTCCTTAACATTTTGCTCATTAAAATGAACAATATCAGTAATGGAAATGGCGTTCCAGCCACAGATGATGCACCAAGTGTTTCAAGGTGACTCTTTGTTTTTGTATACGATGTTTTGTTGTTATTATGGCATTGTTGTTACAGTAATACGGTCGAATGGGTGGAAATCGTCGAACCGCAAACAAAACAGCATATGTATGCGAATTTGGTTACGGGACAATGTTCTTGGGAACCACCACCGGGTGCTTCAGTGTGAGGTTTTTGATTTTTTAGTGTTTGTTCGTCGTTGGTATGCACTGCAAGTGCAGCCAATAAGAGGAAAAATGAGAAAAATCTGGAAATTATTTTTGAACTAATGCCTTATTAACGTCATTTTAATTTCAAGCCTTGTTGTTGGTAATTGGGCAGTTATTTTGTACTTTGCCTCGTTTTCGCGCTGCTGATAATATCCGTAATAAAAAGATTTCCCTCAGTTGGATTTTCAGATTTGACCCTTTCCGGACTCATCTAGTTTGATTTACAGGAAATTTTTTGAGATTTTTTGAGGGATTAGTGGTAAATGTGCAGCATCTGTTAAAATTAGTCTTAAATCAACTCCTTTGTTAAATTGCCCTCTATTTCGAGCACTACTTTTTACGAAATTGAAAACTTGATTTTGCAACTTTTTTCTCTCAACAACTGCTGGTCTTGAGATCGAGTTTTGCCCAATTTTCACAAAATTCTCTCTCAACCACCAATCATAACGGTGTTGTCCGACGTTATCTTATTTTTTTACGAAATGGCAATTCTTTTTTTTTTTGAAAACTAATTAGCTCCACATTTCAATCACGAGGTATGACTGCAGTTGCTTTTTCGATTTTGTAATTACCTTTGTTACACTCATCTTGCAGCTCTGCAATGGTCGTTTGCATCGTAGTCGTTGTAGAGAATGCATCATGTTGTTTTTCTCTCTGCTGCCTGTCTTACCTTTGCTCATTTATTGTAGAAATTGATTGCAGTAGTGGTACAACTAGCGCTGCATTCTTGATCGGAAAATAGAAACCGGATAGTGTAAAAAACAGGCAGAAAACATTGAATTTCTTGTGTTCCTATTTACTTTAAACATTTTTGATGCCTTTTATCACAAAAACACAAAATGTCTTATAGAGATAAGCCATGTTTAATCTTGATGAGTTGATCTATTATGAACGAGGATGGATATGTAGTTCTACTGTGTTCCTTGAAAATTTCATTTCATTTCATTTCATTTATTGCATAGGGTAACCCTATGATAACTGCAACAATAACAAAAAAAAAAGAACATACGAAACCAGAACACAACAAAAATGGAATCATGAGTGATAGCTCGTGACCAACCCGTGTTAGTAACAACAAATTACCGAGACTGTAGATAGTTCCTCAAAACAGACTTAAACGTAGACAACTTTGCAGGAAACAGGCGTTTTCTAATAAGCTTGTCCATGTCATTGATTACACGACATGTAAAAAAGTGTCGGCGAACTTTGTGTTTTGATCTGGAGATAATCAATTTTCTACTCCCTCCCCTTGTATTAGAAATCCTGGTAGGAAAAAATACCCCGAAATCCAAGCCACAATGACCATACGCAATCTTATGTGCCATGAGAAGGTCAAACTTACGCCTTCTATAGGCAAGGGAAGAAAGCCCTAATTCAGTGTTCCTAGTCATACCATTCGGTATGAGATCATATCTGAAACCAATTCTTCGGATGAAAAGTTTGCGTGTAAAACTATTCTGAACTTTTTCCATATAGTCAATCGTTTTATGCAAATGAGGACAAAAAATAACAGTTCCATATTCAACCATAGGTCTGATGAACGATTTGTAAGCTTTCAATAGAGAAGCCGTGTCATTAATTGCGAAAGCCCTGAACAAGTTATATACCGATCTAGTGGCTTTATCTGCTATCAACTTGCAGTGATCATCGAAGGTGAGGTCGCTTTTGACCATGAAGCCCAGATCTCTTATAGAATCAACTTCTTGAAGATAAGTTTCCCCAAGGACATACTTAAAGTTTGGATTAGATGTCTTTGGACCGATATGGATCACTTTAGTTTTCTCTGTAGAAATAGGAAGAGACCACTCCTGCGACCAATCATAAACCTCATTGAGTGCTCTTTGCAACCGTTCATAGTCTGTCACATCCTTGACAACTGCATACAGTTTGAAATCGTCAGCGAAAGCGCTGCAGGAAATCCCCTGGCTTAAAGGAATAGAAGGAAGCTCGTGAGTATAGATATTAAATAGCAGAGGTGAAAGCACACCACCTTGTGGCACACCGCTATGCATCTTCCTCAGACTGGAGAAAGAGCCATTAACACGCACCGTGAAAGATCTGTCCTCCAGAAAGGCTTTTATCCACGCCACAACACGTGGGTGTATTCCTACCATAACCAATTTCTGCAACAGCTTAGGGTGTGGTACTTTATCAAAAGCTTTGGTGAAATCCAAATAAATAACATCGGTATTCAGCCTATTCTCAAAGTTTTGTGTCCAATCATTGAGGCATTGCAACATGGCTGTCGTCGTGGACTTACCACTCTGAAAACCATGTTGGACAGGAGAAATAATTCTATTGCTCTCTAGATGCTTGATAATACGCCTTTTCAGTATCTTTTCAAAGAGCCTAGCAAAAATTGAGGTAATGCTAACGGGGCGAAAGTTATAAGGGGAGGTAAACGGTTTCTTTTTCGGAATCGGAGTCACATATGAAGCCCGCCACCTATCCGGTACCTCGGCCTTCATCATACTCAAATTGAACAGGAACTGGAGGGGCCCGGCTATCACGTGCGCAATCAACTTTATGAACTCTAGTGGAACCATATCAGGTGTCACGGAAGTTGACTTGGGCCAAGCGATCAGCAACTTGTAGATTTCCTCACCATAAAACCACGGTCCATCATCCATCACAGCACAACAAGGAGTACTGTGACCTCCATGATCAATGGAACAATCCCTTTGAAAGCCATTTTCAAAAACATCTGCAAAATATTCGGCTTTATCGAAATCATTTGTTACTACAGTCCCATTATCAGACAACAATACCCCTATCCTGCTCTTTTCCTTGAGTCTAGAACTAATAAGCCTGAAAAACGAACCCTTCTTTCCCGAGTCAATGATCTTGCGTTCTACAGACGCATTGTACTTTCTCAATCTTTTGGCGAATATATCATTGATTCTAATAAATTCATCCCAATTGCACACGTATCCGCTGTCAGCCACCCTATTCCACGCACGCTCCCTTTTATTATATAGTACCCGGAGGTAGCTTGGTAGATTGATTGTTGCCAGTGGGATATCCCTCAAGGGAACAAAAAGTTCTATGGCATGATGTAGTATATGAATAAATAGTTCATACTTTTCATTGATGGACTCAACTGTACCGAATGATCCGTACCAATCCACCCCTCTCAAGTAATCAATAAGTTTATCCTGATTAACATGTTTGAAATCTCTACGTCTTGTGTATCCAGTTTGAACGGTGGGATTGGTGATCACAAATCTAACGGTTGCATGATCGCTTGAACCAAGAGGAGCCCCAACATTTACCTCCCTGATTAAATGCTCATCATTAGTTAAGATCAAATCAAGAATATTATGTCGTAGTGTATGAGAGAAAACTTTTTGGGATAGACCATGCAAGCGACACATATCCAAGAAATCCCTTGCAGCGGACGCATGTCCTGACACAACACCGAGGTTAGTCCAATTGATTCCTGGCAAATTGAAGTCACCCATGATCAAAACGGAGTTGCAGCACCCAATGAGATCAGTGATTGCATTAATCATTTGCATCGTTTTATAACTCAAGCAGGAGGGAGTCCTATACAACAAGATAAGACGCACGGTCTTGTAAGAATAGATGTCGGTGCAAAGAAGTTCATAACTATCGGGTTCAGATTCACTGAACACCATATGAGGGTTAAGCTTAGAGGTCATGATCAAAGCTACTCCCCCTCCTCGTTTCTCCACGCGATCACACCTGTGAATCACGTAATTATCAAGAGCTCCTAGTAACGAGCTGTCACTGATATTATGATTAAGCCAACTCTCAGTAATTCCAATGATTCCTAGATTGTACTTTGCGACAAGAAATATTGGACTCGCCATGTTCCTGCATAGTGATCTTGCATTAGCCAAAAGACATTTAAGTGAGCTATCAACAGTCCGCAGAAAATTTAAGCGTTTAAAGAATTCAATTCATCAAAACGATATTCATCACACTGAGACGACATAAGATTGGTGCCTAGTGAAGCAGCATGATCAGGAGCAACATTATGAGAAACAATATGAGAACATTCTTGAGAGGTAGTAGTTGTTGTACTTTTAGCCTGATTACGCTGAGCCACCCTTTGTTTGCGAAGCCGATCCCTCTCTTCCTTAGGAAGAGAGGGTCGCACAAAAATACCCCGTTGTAAGGGGAAAGTTTTTAGTTGGGGTGCTCGACGTAAAACCAGGTTAGCAAAATACGAACACGGTAAAACAACCTTGAGGAGCCGGTTATGGGAATACTGGGGTTTCCCCATGCGGTAAAAACAAAGAGGACGACATTCTACACCGAGATAATCAAGGATTTGTTCAATGCACATATAGTCGTGATTTACTCTAAGCCTACAAGCAACATTTTTTCTTTCGGGGACACCGATAAAAACTAAGGATCTCTTCCTTTCTTCATCAACGTTGGGCGAGATCGAGTTTTGCCCAATTTTCACAAAATTCTCTCTCAACCACCAATCATAACGGTGTTGTCCGACGTTATCTTATTTTTTTACGAAATGGCAATTCTTTTTTTTTTTGAAAACTAATTAGCTCCACATTTCAATCACGAGGTATGACTGCAGTTGCTTTTTCGATTTTGTAATTACCTTTGTTACACTCATCTTGCAGCTCTGCAATGGTCGTTTGCATCGTAGTCGTTGTAGAGAATGCATCATGTTGTTTTTCTCTCTGCTGCCTGTCTTACCTTTGCTCATTTATTGTAGAAATTGATTGCAGTAGTGGTACAACTAGCGCTGCATTCTTGATCGGAAAATAGAAACCGGATAGTGTAAAAAACAGGCAGAAAACATTGAATTTCTTGTGTTCCTATTTACTTTAAACATTTTTGATGCCTTTTATCACAAAAACACAAAATGTCTTATAGAAATAAGCCATGTTTAATCTTGATGAGTTGATCTATTATGAACGAGGATGGATATGTAGTTCTACTGTGTTCCTTGAAAATGTACCATTTGCTTAGCAAAAAAATGTCTTTCAAGTGACGGCGAGTCACTCTCTAGTTGAAAAAGTCGTTCATGAATTGATTCATTTTCCCCGCTTCTGACTGCACTGACTATACTCGTTAGAAACTTTCTTATGGGCTTGTATTGTCCACACCTACCCATTTCAGCTTCTTTATGTAATGATACTTCTACAAAAACAACAAAAACAACTACATTTTCCAAGATCCATTTCTGAGTACTTCATGTTCGTAGCTTACCACTTGGCCTTGCCTGGTACGCGATATTGACCGTTGGCTGCCACTCATTTTGTGCGATAAAATTTCCTTACTGGTTCCGACTTTCCCGCTTTCACTCCATTGCTCAAAGGCAGTGCCTTGGCAGAATTTCGTCTTCCAATTTTTACCTTTTTGGAGCCTTTTCGCCATGAGGTCCATATCTGGGCTTTTCAGCGCATAAAAATGACGAAAATGAGCTTTTTCCGAAGCTTTCCAGGTCCGCACTCAGTAAAGATACTCCAGAGTATTTTGCGCTCAGCCTTCCTCGTCCGGGCCCTGCCCAGTTACACGTATTCTGCACTGATTGCGGACCTGGAAAGCTTCGAACAAAGTCATCTTCGCCAATTCCGTGCGCTGAAAAGCACAGATATGGACTCCTCATGGCGAAAATGCTCCGAAAAGGTGAAAAATTGGAAGACGAGTTTCTGCCGAGACTCGCCTTTTGGTGAGCTACCAGTGGAGTGAAGTATGAAAAGTTTCTTTTGCTATCCATATTTTCCTGTATTCCTGCAGATGGATTTTTTATTGAACTGCATTACGACAGTTCTGACTTTAATATCACGTAAAAAGAATGGTTTAACGGATTAAAAATCTGGGCCAAAAGACTGAGAAACTTGCATTGCGTCATTGAGGATAGATGAAAAATGAAGTATTTTGAATTTGTCATGGGATTTGAATGAATTCTTCGTTAGCATTCACGGCACCTGACAGTATTTTACCGTTTTGACGGTTTTATTTCCGAACTAATCTAGGCTACCGGCGCGAAAGAATAATGCTAATTTAGCTATTCGTATGCACGACTAGGAATATGATACCTTCATCAAACTATGTCCCATTTCTGCCGTTTTAGTAAACGCACACACGAGAACCAGTGGTGGGAGCTGTTTGATTCGAAGACGGGTCGTTACTATTATTACAACGCAGCTTCCATGAAAACTATCTGGCAACGACCGATGGGCGCGGAGGTGGACATCATTCCGCTTGCGAAGCTACAAACATTGAAAGAGAATACGGAAAGTGCTGAACACGCTAGGGTAAGCGCCTAACTCATTTGGTTTTCTGTGCTTTACTATAATTGCATTTTCTTATTTGTCAGATGATCTATATTGTTACCATGGTCGTATTTTCTTGTTGGTCCATTGTTATCTAGTTTTTCTTTTATTTTGTTCTCTGAAAATCTTTTATTTGTTTGCGTATTGGAGCCTCAATCCCATCTGTTTTATATTCGATGAAAATCGTTGCTTTAGGTGAGGCGCACTTGTGAGACTCAAACATCACCTGCTATCCGTCGAGTGGGAGGTGGATCTCGACGAGTCATAGCCCAAAATATCGGTCCAGAGACTGGTATAATCATGACAAGGACGGCTAGCCGATCGTCTAACGGTACCATGAATGGCATGCAGCAGTCCTTTGATGTGAGTTTTCGCCAAATAGAAATTTTCTCTCTTTTCTCATTTTGTTGTGGTTGAACTGGTTTCCTGTTTTTCGCTTGTTCTGTTTGTTTCCTAATGGTCTCATTTGTTCCAGTGGATGTCATTAGACGATCAGAGCGACACACTTTCAATAGGTGAACGATGCGACTATCGCGACTATAATAATAGGGATTTTGGTAGATCTCCACGACAGTTTCCTCCTTTTCCCACTATGGGTACTACATCAACGATGTCTACTGCTCCTTCGGCGGACTCTATTCCGCCACGATCGTCTCGGTATGTGTGTATTAATTGATTTTTGGTTTTTTCTGCATTTACTTCATTTTTTCCCGTTTCCTTCGTTCATGGGATAATCTGCCTGTAGTATTGTTTTTTTTTGCAGAATTTTGTCTGAAAATGAAAATTATTTGAATTATTTTTCCACAGTAGTAGTAGTTTTTTCAATCTTCTTACCCCAAGTAAACACTAATTGCTTTGATGACAAGCATTTGAAAAAGACCGCACGTTACGGGTACCCTTTTTTGCTCATTAAAGTCCATTTTTAGATCTTCAAGTCCACCGACTCAAAAACGGCAGCTCTTCTCAACGAATACGGGTCCGAAAAAATCCACCAATACAGGAGGTAGCCTTAAGTGCACTTGACAGGTCGCCGAACATGTTTGTCTTTACAGGATGGGCTAAAGAAGCCCCTAAACAGCCACTATCTGCTCCGGATAACAAGCAGCTGAAGAAAGACTCACCAACGATCTTCAAGCTCATTCAAGGATATATGGGAGATCGGAAGAGTAAAACGCCGATTGACCAGGTCAGGTTGTTTACTGCATCAGCAATAGGTTTCGAACTTTGTTTGCTGTTTTTTCAAATTCCTCTTTTAGCTAGCGCTAAGCCTTTGTGAGCTTGGTCTGTCGAAGCAGGAATGTGCGGATGAGGCGATAGCTCAGCTTATGCAACAGCTCACCGATAATGAACGACCTGATAGTGTCAGGTATAGCTTATCTATTGTTTACTATTGTTTGCTGCTTGTTGCATAGCAAAAGTTTTGATTTTGTAGGAACTCATGGGGCTGAAATCAAAGTTCTGATTTCAGACGTGGTTGGGAGCTTTTGGCAATATTTTTGAGCTTTGTAGTGCCGTCAGAGAAACAAGCAGCTTTGTTATCGGAGTTTATTGACAGGAACTCTGAGAAGCTTTTTGATAGGCCTGAAGTTCGTCATTTTCCATATCTGGTTTCTAATTAGATTTACGTCATAAATAGCAGTCTCCTACAGGTCGCTGTGTCCCATTTCGCTCAGCAATGCGCGAAGCGCATGTCAAAATCGCAACCTCGGATGAAGCCAACGCTTGCAGGTGTACAAGAAGCTAGGGTAAGTTGGACATTTTAATTTTTTTGCTTTTTGTTACACATTGTTCGATTTTTTTCGATATCTATGTGAATAACGCGGAGCGCATGTCTTCAGGTCCACATATTCAATCCACCACAATTTTCTGCTTCGCTCTTTGAGTTGATGGAGATGCAGGCTGAACGATTTCCTGAGCGACGATTACCTTGGATTGAAACTACTCTCATTGAGCTTCTTTATGGATCAGGGGCAACGAGGACCGAGGGACTGTTCAGGTACACCTTGTGTTTTGTCATTTACAGATGAAGTTCAAGCATGCTCTTAGTGCCTATTGTTATTCATTCCAGAGTACCTGCTGATCCGGATCAACTAATGACAGCTAAAGCCCGATTGGATATGTTTGTTCCACCTGTAGTACATGACCCACACGTACCAGCCGGATTATTGAAATTGTGGCTGCGCCAACTTCCCGAACCTCTCATTCCGCATGCATTTTATCAGCGTGCCCTCGCTGCATCAGAGAATCCCGTTGAAGTTACACGACTGGTGCAGGTGTTACCCACTACAAATCAATTAGTACTGGGAAAACTTATCTCCTTTCTGCAGGTAATTTTCTGTGCTCCATCTGTCTAATCAGGTTTCATCGTTTTTCTCCTAGGATCTTTCACGTGAAGAAGTCGTTGCTCACACCAAAATGGATGTCTCTAATCTTGCTATGGTGATGGCCCCCAATGTGCTCAGGTATGACTTTTTGACGGTTTGGAGTTTTGATACTGCTTTGCTTTTTAATCGTATTTTCGTGCTTGCTTCACTTTCTTCTTCTTGTTTCATATACCGAAAATGTGTCAAATAGTTTTTATTCTTGTTGGTAAAATCATTTTGTTGTTTTTACACAACTTCAAAAAAATCTTAGAACATTCTCAATTGTTTATGGAATTTTGGTCTTGGCTGAAATACATAATCCTTCTGAGATTGTGTTATTCGCGATGATTCGCTCATCCTAGTTCCTGATTGATTTCTTTTCCTTGTGATCACATAGAGAAAAATTAATCTTATCCACTTAAACTGTACTGCCTAAGTTTTTCTCTCGGATTCGCTATGAACATTATTCGTTTTGATTTGATTTGATGAATGAGAGTCATGGATCCCGCAAATTGTGATGTTTAGGTGTGAAAGCGAAGATCCACGTGTGATTTTTGAGAACACTCGACGTGAAATGACCTTCCTAAAAACCTTGATAACTAGTTACGATACCTCCTTCATGCAGGGGATCATCTAGTCTTTGCTTGCTTCTCGTCCAGCTTTTTTTTCCTAGTGAATGCTTTCCTGAAAAATTGTCAATTTTCTTACCTCCTTCGTGTAATTCGGCTCACCGAGGTTTTTTTTGCCATTCCCTCCATTTGTAGAGCTTTGAGAGCTTAAATCTGTAATGCTTTCCTATTTTTGGCATTCATTGTCATCCTGAATCGAGTCACATTCATCTCCTAACGTTTGCCATTGTTATCGGTTCATCGACATCCCATTTAGTGTCGTCGTGTATGTGAACTCTAACGTGTAGCCCATATTAGGATGTATAGGTCAGTGTACCAATTTTGCTCCATTGTTTTGTAGGGTCAGTATTAGTGCATATTTTTTGTTTGATATTATGGCCTAGTCGTGTATTTCTTGTTGAGCATGGCAGATTATCCCAAAGATTTGTATTCTTTTTTTTTCTCCTTAGGAGTCTAATTTTTGGTTATCATAAATTTTCTCACTTTTTCTTATTCCCAGAAGTGCTACCGCTATTGCCCTGAGAAGAATATCTAACCAAAAACCCTGATTATGTGGTCTTATATTGTAATATGCTGCCCTACTTAAGTTGCACCCTTTTTTTTTCTTTTTTGTTCACTGTACAGTTTGCAGCTTTGAATTTTTGTAAATACAATAAATACTTATGAATACTCTGATGTTTTCGATTATGATTCTAGCGATTAGTAACGCTTGCTATATTGGGTGCTTTACGCGCTTATGCTCTTCGCGTTGCTGAATAATTATTCACGCTTTTCTCATGAATGAGCATTCTCGTGAATGCGTGGACGGAAGACATGTCGCCGCTCGATTTCCGGACACGCTAGAAGGTCAAAGAATAAGTGACCCAAGAATAGATGTGTTCTTTGTCTATGTATGGAATGAGGCACGTAATAGCTTTTCAGTATTTTTTGATTTTAGGGCTTGGGGTGATCTTTGGATTATATTTATTGAGGTAGGAAACGTTCCGAGTGAAAGATGCTGAAGCTTTTATGAAGCTTTTTCCTGAAGCGCACATCTTTTTTTGGATGAGCAAAACACATTTTCCTACTCGAAATCTCTAAAATATATAGGCTAACAGATGCCCTTGCGGTGCCGTGGCCGACAACATTTGCGCGTAAAGAAGTGGCGAGGGGACGCGTTAAAAAGTACTTTCTGCTGCCATTTTGCGCGCTCAAAATGTCGAAATTGCAGGCATTAATCTACGCGCAAATGTCTTAGGCGAATATCGGCAAGGAACGCTCAAATTTACCATAAAATCTCTTGGACCATACTTTCTATTTGGAATCTGTAAGAGAGTATTATTTGCCTAGTTCTTGCTTGCCGACAACATTTGCGCGTGAAAAACGGCAATGTGCGCTCTATGGGTCTTTTTTGCGCGCGATTCGCCATCAAGTTGCCTGCATTCACAAGCATGACATCTGTTTTCGCGCAGATGTTATCGTCACCCCAGCACTATATCAGCCGTTAAAAATGCTCGACGGCAACGCAGTGGTGGCTGCGTATGTTTTGCCCACTTTTTTGTAACTAAAATTGTGCCGTGCGACTTCAAGCGAAAATATGCACTTTGTGCGCCTACGACTAATGCATGTCTTGTGAATCAGTCTATAATCTTGACAGATGTGTGAAGGCGATGTGAACGCACTTTCAGAAAAAAAAATTGGAACTGCAACGGAGGGGGTTTATTCGAGTTGGGAGAGTATTACAATTTTTACTTTCTACCTGTTAGATGGCGTTTAATTTTTTTTTGTTCATACTCATTGGTTGGAAAATTATGAGGTGCTTAGATTGTATGTATAGGAAGAGTATAGGGCCTAAACAATCAATCTGCATCTAACCTATGGGATCTCATTCTTAGGCCTGACTGCCAGTGTTCCATCATCTACCAATTCGCTAAAAATGGCGTGTTTTTGCGCGCTGAGTGGCTCCATCCGTTCGGAAAGCCACTGGGCTGAAGTGTTTACTTCACGGAATGTTCGATAACTAGTCGCTCAGGAGCTTTTCGCCGCTTTTGGCTTGAAAAAAAAACACGGCGCTTAGGGAGAACATGGAACGTTCAAAGCGTGAACCGCCAAAATGACTTATCGCATAGATTACACAGCGCTAATATAAGCAGCAACGCGTAATCCCGGGTGATTTGCATGTGTGGTCGTTGCTAATTGCCCAAAATCAAATATGCCTGCTGTAAGAGGGGCGCTCACTGGGGAGCGATTGCTCTCAATTTGAACGCAAGGGCCGGAACGCCGCGCACTGCCGCCGCTGATTTTGGTGCCGCATCATTGATGGGGCAGTGAAGGGGGGGGGGGAGGGAAGGGGAAGGGGGAGAGAGAAAAGGTGCTTTCGCGGATAATGAGGTGAGGAATTTGAAGCTCCTCACATGAGTAGGGGTTTGAATGGCAGGTGGGGCACAATCTGGTAGATTTAGCAATTATTATAGTGCACCTGCGGTGATGACAACACAAATCCGTACCTGTCATTGCTGTCAACTTGCTTGTGATTTGCGCATGAATTAGACAGCGCACATTTTCAACCCATTGACGACGTTGTGAACCACCGGTGGCCCACAACTCTTGCAAAATCATATTATTTGTAGATGTAGAATTTTTTTAGATATCAATATTTTTCCTATTTCTTCGCACTCTTGGGGCCTGTAGGCTCCGTCTTTGTTCAAGAAAATGATTGTTTACGGAACAACCTTGCATCTCGTAAATAACCACAAAAATCGAACGTGTTGTGCAAAATCGTGTCGTTCCACAGCGCCGCCACGCAAAATTAGGCGTCGTTGTAAATGGATTGATGACTACGCCTGAACGTTGTTAGCATCGCAGAACACCATGGTAGATTGCAAATCTAAAAACCATACATTATCGGATTTTGAGAAGTGGGCACCATCCCCGAGATTACCTACCGAGGGGAATTTGAAATTTTTGGGAAAAATGGTCATGACTCGTGAATAATTTCATCCGGAGACTGCGTTATTTATGTATGAAAACGTTCTCAAATGTCTAACGAACGTTTCTCTAGGGCGAACACGTTATCTTCCCTGAAACGTTGCCCTTTCAAGCCATTGTCAATATATGACTGGACCACCGTTAGAGACTCCACCAAGGGAGCATTTTCTGGAAAATTTGAGGGATTTTGCAAGAAATTTGTTATATTGAAGAATAAAATTTTATTTTTTGGCTGCTATTCGTCAAATAATGTGGATATTGTGTCAGAAAAGAGATATTAGTGTATAGCAACATAATTTGTTTATCCGTTTCGGCGACGCCCTATCACCCCTCAGATTTGACAGGTTTACTATGCCGAAATGTGTGATAAGAATATGATGGATGGTTAGCGCACTCAGCAGTAACAATCGCCGTTCTCTCATGACTCCTGAAAAATCAAGAAGGGATTACATCGAAGAGGAACCGAAGAACCTGGCTGGAATTTTTTTTCGTTAGAGGTCCCTAGATTCAAAAAAAAAAACATCATTAAAACAGGTTCAAATAATGGGGACTGCGGGGTGTAGAAAGGTTAGACAAATTTCAGTAAATATTTAAGCTACAAAATAGTATTCTAGCGGGCTGGTTTGCAGTAATGAGCACTCCCTCTTTCCGGATGGATGCAAAATCTAAGAAACTAGTCTACATGAGTTCTAACTTTGGGAAAATAATTTGTTATCATCGTAAATAATCAATCAAATTAGCCCTGTGAAAAACTTTCTCTAAGACATAGCTGTCTACTTTTTTTTAGAATTTCTGAGATTGATTCCCGCTAAGAATTTGGAGGGACTCTTCTTCGTTCAGAAAATATTCTGCTTCCCGCGCCCTCCATTTCACGAAAAAAACTTTCTGAAACGATACTGAATTCTGGGAATATTAGATAGAAGTGGTCTAAAATTGGTTTTTATTTCTGTTGATCCAGCTTTGTGAAATTTTGTTGCACTCTATCATAAAATAGTGGCTTAGAGAATCTGAAGAGCTTTTTAAGAAACTTTTTTCAAGGGTATGGATAGAAATACTGGTCTTTATCTCAAATTCATCCTAGGTTTTATTGATGCAAATAGTGCTTTAGGGGCAACTCGTCTCCACTTGCTTGTGGCGCCTAATCGTCTGTATAGTGGATACCAGTGGTGGACCGAGGGGGGAGGAGCGGAGTGAGGGCGAAAATGGGTTGCGAAATTTTTGAAATTTACTCACATGGGTTACATAAATGTGCTAATGACTTGTTCATAATAATAATAATGATGATAATTGAAACAATGTTTGAAAATTCGAATTAGCCCTGTAAAAATTTTTTTTCCGGAAGCGTGAATCCGCCACACCCCCCTTTTTCTGGATTTTAGGGGTAAAGGGCCGTAAAAATTTTCGGAAGCACCCCAAAAAATTTCCTGGAGTGCTTGGCTAAGGCCACACCTTCATTTGAAAAAAATTTTTGCCGCCTCCCCTCGGGACGAAAATCTTGCCTACCACTGCTGGATTATCCATATAAAAAGAAAATGGGTTGTGAATTACAGCTCGTGCAACAAGGTTATGAATCAATTCTGAAGGAAATTGGAAGTCTTGAGTCAGGATTAAACTGGCGAACTAAACAGCGAAGAAGTCAAGAAGAATAGTGGGAAGAAAGAGTTAATCGTGGTTTCTCTTTCGCCAGCCTTTGCAACGTTCACCGGTAGTGGAAACTACGACTCAGAGGCGTCGTCGCCGCAGATCTGACGCGCCAGTGAGTCTTTTTCTTCCTCATGAGCTGACTGTACTTGCGCTCGCGAGAATTGGGTTTGTTACTTGACAACTTCTCACCAACAGACAGTGTTCCTTCACTTTGTTTCCAATGCAATTTTTCTACTCTGTTATCCGACAATGACTTGGAAGCCGCGATTATACTTTATTCTCGAAATCAATGTTGCAGATATCATGGCAGATATAGAAGACGGGTTTGATGTACGAAATGGTAACCACAATAAACTCAATGATGTGCAGATCAAAATAAGGTTACTTTTTATTTACGACTTTTTTGGGGTTCTGATTTCTGCCAGTCTTCAAATCTGCACAATTCATTCAAATTGTTAAATTTTTTTGGATTTGAGGTCTAAGCGAGGTCCAGCTGATCTTGGCCAGATGGACTCATTCGTTCCCGGCGTCACACCTGTATGGGTGAAGACGTGGGGATGTTCACACAATGCTAGTGATAGTGAATATATGGCTGGTATTTTGGCCAAAGTAAGTTCAAACGTTGATTATCTGACAATCAGTCTGTTACAAGTATTTAGGCAGGTTATCCAATCGTAAAGAAAGCAGATGATGCTAAAATTTGGGTTTTGAATAGTTGCACAGTGAAAACGCCATCGGAAGCTCAAGCAAGCAACCTGTGCAAAGAAGGGAAGAAATTGGGAAAGCATGTGGTCATGGCTGGATGTGTGTCACAGGTCAGATTCTCAAATGTTTAAGCAGTAGCGATTAGTCAGAAATGTTTTGACGGCTATACTTCAGCTTTTTAAGTTTTCTGTTATCTCCATTGAACTTTGTCGTGTCTTACACAAAGAAAGGCTCTTACAATCAAGTCTTAATCCGCACGTATTTGAAAGTTCACCCTCACATGTATTCTTATGTCTTTTTATGCCTAATCATCAGATTAGCTGAGAATTGTTGAGCTTGTGATTTTTCTGCCGTTTTTGTTCAGCTATGAAGTTTTTTTTTTGATGACTTCAGTGTAAAGATTACAGGCTGCACCCGACGAGCCATGGTTAAAAGACGTTTCTATCATCGGAGTGAAGCAAATTGACCGAATAGTAGAAGTTGTGGAGGAAACTTTGAAAGGAAATACAGGTAAACTTCAGTTCTTTTTCCATCACTTTTTCAAGATTTTTTGGGTGACCGGTTCACAATTTTTTCTGCATACTGAATTCTAGTCCGATTACTTAGCCGGAAGCGACCAGATGCGGGTTTATCATTGCCAAAGATGCGTAAGAATGAGCTGGTGGAGGTTGGTAAATATTGTAATGTTACGAGCTTGTTATTTCTGCCTCGTTCAGGTCTTAGCGATAAACACTGGATGCCTCAATCACTGCACTTACTGTAAGACGAAAATGGCAAGAGGAGATTTGAAAAGCTATCCACTGGAGGAGTTAGTGGAGCAGGTAGGGTGTAATATCCTAAATCATCGCTTATATTTTTCTTTTATATGCTAGTACAATTTCTTTAAGGCTAGAACAGCATTTGAACGAGATGGTGTAAAAGAGCTGTGGCTTACCTCTGAAGATCTTGGAGCTTGGGGTAGAGATATCGGCTTGGTGAGTACTATATTCAGAATTTGTCTTACCGTTCGTTTCTTTCCGGCAGCATTATTTGTTTTTTGTCTTCGATTAATTTCCTTTTAGCTTTTTTTGCTGCATTATAGCTTTCAGGTGCTCCCCGATCTTCTGGATGAGCTTGTAAAGGTTATCCCCGAGGGATGTATGATGCGGCTGGGAATGACCAATCCACCATATATTCTTGATTATCTGGAGGTTAGTGACTTAGAGGCTTTTTTTGCAGCAGACATAAGCAATGTAGATGTTTTTGAGTTCCATTCTTCGCTTTAAACATCTTGGTCAGTTTACTCTTTGCTAATTGTCCTTATTGAATTATGAGTCTTTTCTAGCCTCAGCGATAAATATAAAGGGGAGTTCACGTCAACCCGGGTTGCATTTCAAATATTCAAAACTTTTTATTCCTTCTCAAGAAGCTTGACGCCTCTCAGATGACATCTATAAATATTGTTGATGCTAGGCAAACTTTCTACTTTACTGATAAATTGCAGGAGATTGCCAACATACTCAAGCACCCTCGTGTTTACTCTTTTCTGCATATCCCAGTGCAATCGGGCAGTGACGCCGTGTTACGAGATATGAAACGAGAATACAATTGCGATCATTTTAGACAGATTATGGATTTTATGCTGAAAAAGTAAGTTTTTATACTTGCAGCAGATGAGGAGAGGCAAGGTGATGCGGTTGAGCAGTGCTCCTAGATGGCCCCTATGCATATCCTTAGAATTATATTTAAAAAATTTACAAAATTCTTAGGAAGGTTGAGGCTTGCAACTCTATCTGTAAGAATTCTGCCGCCCCCTTCCCCTGCTTTCGAAAGTGTAGGCCCTTTTGATGCACTATAATCTATAATAGAAACTAGCTTACATAAGCTGTAAAGCTGTGAAAGTGACTCCTATTTTTGAATTATTTGTATGATCTATGAAGTTCTCGAAGTTATTAAAAGGTTTTGCAAGAGAATATTTTGGGCGTGGCTATCGCCACGTGTTTTTCAAATAATTTCAAGGTTATGATTACAAAAGATCAAAAGATCTTATCAAAGAACTGAAAAGCATCCCGAAGTCTGCAGAGTGTGCGCCATACCAATTTTTTTCGAATAAAAGCACCCTGTGGTCATACCCCAAATATTTTCTCAACCATTATCATATACATCTGCTCGCATCTTGCTAAAGTCGTAGCTGAGTATGTGGAACATTTTTGCTGTAATCACGGATAAAACCTTAGTTTTTGAACTAACCGCCCTTACACTTTGAGCTGATTAATTTACACCGTTTATAGCGTTCCCAACATATACATTGCTACGGATATGATTTGCGCTTTTCCTACGGAAACCGAAGAAGATTTTGAAGAAAGCATGCAGCTTGTTCGAGACTACAAATTCCCGTCACTGTTTATCAATCAATTCTATCCTCGATCTGGCACACCAGCAGCTCGAATGAAAAAGGTGAGGCATGATTGTGTTGACTATGGGCACTCAATTTTAATAACCCAAAATAAGAAAAATAAAATTCTATTGAAATAAAAATTGAACTTCAATGGCAAAAAATCTCACTCTGAGATGACTCATGGAAAAAAGAAAACTTTAAACTTACTCATGGATCAGAACTTCTGTATTGCCTAGACAACGGTTGTTTTGATATTTATGAGTTTTAGAGAGAAAAATTTGAGGTTTTCTGAAATTTCCAAGAAAAATCATGTAATTATTCAGGTCGATACGGTGGAGGCTAGACGGCGTACGGCTGCTATGTCAGCATTATTCCGAGGATATACTCGATACACCCCTGAACGAATCGGAGAGGAACATAATGTTCTGGTTTGCGAAATGGCCACAGGTGGGTCAAAGTTTGTCTTTTGAAAATTACGGCATTTTTTCTTCAAATTTTATACGCCGTTGCAAAAATAATGAGCCTGAATTTAGATGGAGTACACGCCGTCGGGCATAACAAATGCTACGAACATTTCCTCGTCCCATTCTACGATGGCCTGATGGGCAACTGGGTACGCGTTCGGGTAGTGGAAGTGGCGAAATTCCACATGCGAAGTGAATTGTGCGAGAAGCCACCTGAAAAACGGAAAGAGCCTGTGCTGAGAGATTGGACAGCAAAGAGCTTGGATGACTGTATACCTATCGGGACATTCAAACCCGGAGAAACAATCAGCCCCGTAGCCACTGTAGAGAAGTCACCAATTGCTGTGATTGTGTTGGGTGTCCCAATACTCGTTGGCATAATATTGTGGTATTTTATTGGTATCTGATCTATCTAGTGCCATTTAGTAGTTTTTGACATGGAGTTATTTCGAACTCTTTACCTGTAGGAATGGCACAGATCATCCCATACCGTTCATCATATGGTTGAACTACCTGGCCGTTTAGCGTGGGGCGGCTCAACTTAATAGTGTAGAGGTCGCGAAGTCGCCTGATCCATGTGACATCACCGTATTGTGGCCATATCTCGCTTCAGAATGGATTAACTCTTAATCCAAGGACACCATTCGACTCAGCTCGGCGCGGCGCATCTTCTGATATATGGAAGATGCTCGCTTGGACACAGTAGGAGGACAGATTCACGAATTTGCGGATTTTTGCTTACGGTAGGTTACTCAGTGTGCTCATTGCGCTCACTGGACAACATACCCTAAGCAAAAACCGTTTGTGGAATTGACCTTCTGTTGTGTCCAGTCGGGCTCTTCTATATATCAGAAGATGCGCCTCGCCAGGCTGAGTCGAATGGTGCCCTTGGATTGAGAATTCGTCCACTCTGAAGCGAGATATGGCCACGCGGCGGTGATGTCACATGAGTACGGGACTTCGCGTCCTTTTTCAAAAATACGAGCTGTATCGTATTTTCAAGCCCAGAATAGCGAACCTTGATTGTTCATCCTGATCAGTTCAGGGCATTTTTATTTTTGAGCAGTACTCGGATGCTTTCCGCATATGCATTGAGTCTTGTCCTGCAAGTCAGCCTAGTATAGCCTTCAACCTTTTATTCAAAGCAATGTCGCTCACTTTGTATTGATGTACGCGGCAGCCGGTATAGCATCTTGAGAATATCTCTGAACAGCATTAGCTTTATTGTATTCTCCGTTCTTCTGCGAACCTACCAGCCCGTTCGAAAAATGTCATGTCATAAGAGACTGTCTTTTCTTTGGTACTTTTTTCTCTAATTGTTCGCTACAGTAACTAACGCTGTGTGCACTTGACTATCCTCACAAGTCCGCTCGTCCTCTGTCTCTTGAAAAATTGTTTCATCTATGAAATCTCTGTTGGGTGTTTTCTGAGTTAAGCGCTGCTTGTTGGAGCAGCTTGAAAACTGTTGTTGAAAGTTATTAATGTTGCCGATGTTGTTGTTGTTTGCTGTAGTAATCTTTGATTCAGTTGGCTTGGCGGCTGGAAGGCGGGCTTTGTGACCTAATTAAGGCCGCTCGTGCTCTCTATCATTATCTAGCTTCAATCGGGTCACGAAACCCTGCCTTCCAGCCGCCAAGCTGGTTGAATCAAAGGGTAAATCCGGTCTGTAATAAATTTCATCAAAAATTTGTTTTGGTGGGAACCAAGTGTTGTAGGCGATAGTGGTGTCGATAATAATTTATCCACAGACGAACCCCGGTGTTGAACCGGGGGAAGCAACATATAATACAATCGGGGGCTCCTTATATAGGTAGTAAGGCGGAGCTGACCCGTGCACAATCGGAATGTCCACGAAATATAGGCAAGAAAGAGGATGCCGCGGCTTGGCGCGGCCCCTGGAAGATAGGAGCCACTCATTGGTGAGTGATTCGGCACTTAAATATAAGAGATTGGGGAATATAGCCTATAGGGAATACCCGTAAGCAACTAGAATTATAGAATTGTTGAGGTTGATGATACATAAATCATCAACACTCGGGCGAGCAAGAAGGAGGCGAAATCTGTTGAGATGTAAATAAATAAATACAATCAAAACCTCCTAAAAGCATTTGTGCTCAGAAATTGAGATATAGCTTTGTTCATAAGTGTAAGCTATTAGATTGGTTGTCGAGGTTGATTCATAGATCATCAACACTCCGGGGAGCAAGCAAGAAGTTAATCTGGTAAGCACAAAATACAACAAATGCATAGATTTGTACTTAGACTTAGACATACTTATGGGAGCTACAGACAGAAGAGAATTTACGGTGATCAACTGTAGTGGTTGGTGGTTGCTGTTCCATGGTGTAGCTTCGCCTTTCGTCGTCGTCTCTTCTTCCTCGTCGATTTTGAGTTGACAGAATCGTTATCGGTGATTGTCTTCGTGATAGCCGTGGTTTCCGTCACCAGATGTCTGTGATGTGTGATCTTCGGCATGTCCGTCATCTTTATGTTAGCTTGTGACGTTGGTCGAAGTGTTCTGGCAAGAGTTCCATTCGCAATCCTCGTGTTGGAGCTGGAACTAGAGCCTAATATGCAGCCAACTTTGGCCAGCCAGCGTTGTCTGTCTGTCTTAGCTTTGCGGGTGAAAGCAGCTGTCCGCCTTTTTTTCTTTTTCGGTAACAACTTCGTTGCCTTTTGAGATGTTACTTCAGCATGCGCTTGGAGAATTCTCCTGTTGATTGCATATGTACTGCTTTCGTTGAATTTGGTGCCAGTTTTCTTCGTCGTCAGCCATTTGACGTGTCGTTGAGGGTGAGGGGCGGATTTGAAGGCTTCCTGCATCGTTGATGTACAACCAAAAGTGCCAACGATCTCTGTGCTCACGTTGGTACGGCTTGTACCGGATATGACATATCCAAAGATGGTTGGGGTTAAGACGAGCCCTGAAGGAAGCTTGAGCACTGTTTCGGTGTGAACAGTGATGAAGTTGAGAAGATCTTGTCCAATAATGATTTCAGGCAAGACGCTTTTATGAATGAGCGTATCTTGAGCTATCTTCAAGTTCTTATTGGAAATGAACTGAATATCTGCATCTGTGAGATGTGCTGTATATAGATTGGCAGTCAACTTGTCTTTCGTGTGCACTGATATCTTCTTAAGCTTCTTTGCGTTTTGAAAGTTTTTTAGAGTAATTCGTACTTCATTGGAACTGAATGTCTCTTTCAATTCTCCCATTCCTGATGTGGTGAATGACGTCGTTTGGCTGACTGCCAGCTTGAGCTCTTCACTAAATTTTGATTTGATAAAGCTTCGCTGGGCGCCAGAGTCAATCAGTATTGTTGTGGGTTGATAATCCCAATGTTCCTCGTTGAATATCATTGCCGACGCCATTTGGAGTACGCTTTAGCGCACGACGGGTTGCTTAAGCTCTTTGCTTGAGCTGCACACTTCGTTTCCATACGACGGGCTTTGTGCAACGTGTACTTCACTTGCTCTGCGATTATCGAAGCTGGTTCTTTGCAGTATCTTGGAGACTTGCAAATGATGATTGTAGCTAGTAGGAGGAGACTGCTCGAGATTTCCTCTATCCTCTTCCCATTCCGAATCATTATCTGTGTCCTGGCCGCTCGTATATGAGGTGATTGGAAGCAGTGTCTTCATCGTTAGTGCGGTCGTTTCCCAAAGAATGCCGTCGATTGCGTCTAGAATCTCGCAAACATCGAAGTGATCACCGCATACGGTTTCCTTCTGTATGACGGTTGCGCAGATGTCTTCAGGAAATTTGGACAGAATCATTCTGCGCCAAATTCTGTCTGCACTCATCTTTATTCCAGTTTGTTCCAGGTGAATGATCCGCGAATTGATTGCTTCAAAGGTTTCTCGGCAACTTTCGGGATCGTCTTTTGCTCCATGAAGTCTTTCGATTTCGTGATGAGTATGTCTGCCATGTTGGCAGAGCGGTCAAAGTGCTTCTTCAGGATGTCTACGGCCGTCTTGTACTTGTCTCCAACGACGGGGATGTAGTTCAGAGCCGCAGCAGCTTTTCCTTTGAGAGCTTGCTTCAAAAAAAGGAATTTGTCGCCATCCGATAGGTCTTCGTCACAGTGAATGAGTGATTCGAACACTGTCCAAAAACTGTTGAACTCTCTGAAGTTGCCAGAGAATGTGGGAATCTCTAGAAGCGGTTTCCGCACTTTGATCTGGCGTTCACTTCGGTCCGTTACTGAGCCTTGTCCTATCTCGCTTGCTGATTGGCTTGGGATACTAGGAGCAGGCGTATGCAAAAGTGTCATCTGCTCCCTCAGTTCATGCTGTCTGAACTGTATCCTAGTCTGCCATTCCACTACAACCACTTCTAGATCAAATGATTCAAGCTCTAAGTGCTTGCTGAGTTCTGTCATTAGCTTTTCCCTTTCTTTCTCATCATTCCTTGTGTTGATGTACTCCATAGCGGCACTGGTTTGCGTTTCTTGGAGCTTCATTGCGCTATGCAAAGAGTTTAGGAGATTAGTTATCACTCTTGTTTTCTCTTTAATGTACAGCTCACATTGTTCTTTTGTCGCAGGAAATGTGAAGGGAACATCAATGTCATTAATTCGTGACTCGTGCGATTTCACGAGTTTGCAGGCATTGTTGATCCTGACTTTGAAAAGTTGAAGTGCGGCCATCTTCGAGATTCAATTCCGACTTCTTCTCTTTTTGTCCTACAACAAGTTGGTTGCTTTGCTGTTTCTTCAATGTACAAGTAGGGAGGTTTTCGCAAACTTGCAGGCTCGTTAGTGGTGTTGTTGAATAGAGACAGCTGTGTGCTGATCTCTGATGAGCAAGCGTGCCTGGTTGGCTTGAACGCTGTGCTGACTAGTAAGGTGGCTTGGACCTTGACCAGATAAGGATTGGGTTTCAATTCTTTAAGCCAAGAGTTCTTGGTCGAACTTTGACTTTTTTGGCAAAATGAGCTCCTGTGACTCAAGTTGCCTTCCTCTCAAATCTCAATGTATTGATCTCCGGTCCTTGGATAGGATTCGCGAGAGATCTATGAGATTGATTGGAAAATTGCACCCACAAAAATTTGTTCCGCTCTCTGGATCACTTACGAAAAGGATTCACAGAAAGTTTCACGGTCTTATGTGGTTATGTGCTGCACTCACAAAATTTGTTCGACCCTCTGGATCGCTTACGGAAAGGATTCACAGAACGTTTCACGTATTAGTGTGATTATGTGCTACCTACTGATTTCTCTTACACCTCTTTGGATCTCTTACGAAAAGGATACACAAAGATTTTCAGATAGTCAGTGGTAGCCTTCCGATTTTTCTTACACCTCCCTGGATCTCTTACGAAAAGGATACACAGGAATTTTCAGATAGTCGGTTGGTTGTCTTCCTGCCACGCGGGTCTTATGGCCTCGATTCCTCCGGTTGCAGAT